TATTTAAATTTAGACAGAAAAACACTTAGACTAAAAATGTATAACAAGATTTTATATGGAGTGGCGGGAGCTGCAGGGGCATCGGTCATAGCCTGGAGGACAATGTTCCCCTGGATTGGAGATGACTTGAAAATGATGAAACTTGGATCCAAAGCACTTAAGAGGCAGGCTGAGGATATAGAGAAGGGTATTTTTCTTGTTAATCGATTTGAAGAACAGGTTCACAAAAATCCAGACAAAGTGTTTATCATATACGACGATAATTTGTTTACGTTTAAAATTATGGATGAGCAAGCTAATCGTGTGGCTAATGCAGCAAAATCTGTTGGTTTACGTGTGGGTGACACTGTGGCATTGTTTTGTTCAAATTCACCAGAGTTCATTTGGACATTTTTAGGTAAGATTATTTTCTAATTTTTTTTTTGTTTTGTTTTAAATCCATTTTATAAAACAGAGACATGCTCCGAATGATATTAAAGTCAAACATTTTTATTTTGTGTTTTAAAAATCAAAACACAACATGGTTCATAAAATAAATACAGTACATGTATATGGGTCCAGAATGTTCTTCCCAAGTTGAGGTGATAAAAAAAGAAGAGATTTGCAAGTGAACAACAAGATAAAAAGTTGTTAAAAAAGTGCCATTTCAGAAGAATGTGCTTAGCCTCAGGCCTCAGTGGGAGCTGTCGTGCATCTCCAAGCTACGCCACTGGTCATTCTTTTGCGATATCTTGAAAATATCAATAGGTTTGGCTGTTTAGAAGTTTATAATAGATTATTCATTCTGATAGAAGATCATTCACTATATTGAATTAAATGTCTATTAATGAAAGCCAAACACTATAGATAGATTTTTTAACAAGGTTATCAAGTTGAGAAATTCTGCTATGTGACTGACCATATGTAATAAGACAAACACAATGAGCGTGGTCTCGATTTAGTTGTATATATTAACCCTAAGTATTAACCCTTACTGTAACCCTGACCAGTTAGCTCCTAGTTAGCACCAGTTAGCACCTATTTACCCTTTGTGACCAAGTATATAGCCCTTTCTTAGCATGTACTTACATACACCATAACATACATGTATTCAATGTCTTAAAGATGCATTATGTAAGATTTAGATGAAGTGCTGGCTTTTCATAGTTTAAAAATAGATAATGAATAATGAGCATTGAAAATTTCAGTCAAATTACTCCTTTCTGAAGAAGTTATCAGGCTTTGAAGCGTACACAATATTGTCTTGATTGTCAAGTACCATTGTCATGGTAATAAAAAATGTTTCGATTATCCATTTTTAAATTGAATTATAAAATGCAATCATCTTTCAATCCATTGAAAATCACGACCATTTGATTGTCTTAGTAGAGAGTTGATACGGGCTTGTCTTGTGGATGAATATCTAATTAAAGATACATAATGTAAGATTTAGATAAAGAACTAGCCATTCTTGCTATAATAGTTCGAAAGTAGATGATGTGAAATGAATAATTTGAAAATTTCATTCAAATTACTCTATTGCAAGCGAAGATATTAGCCTTTGAAGGTTTGACAGACGTGTGCAATAATTTCAACCACTGTACTGGTTGATCGAAGCTAAGTCTCGATCCTCCATATTTGATTAAATCAAAGTATCACTGAACCATTCTAATCTATTTAATATCAGAGAAATCTGATGCCATCGAGAGTTGATTAAGGCCTGGATCAGTTAATTAATGTCTAATTAATACTTTAGAAAACATTTCAGGCATAAAGAAAGACCTGCAATAGGCAGATTTAGCTATTGCATAATGCATGTTTAATAATTTATAGAAAACTTGAGTCCCTAAGAAAGGCCTACAATAGGCAGATTTAACTCTTGCATTATGTAACTTTAATTTGATTTGAATTACTGTCTTGTGCATAGATTTCAGCTTCAGATTTAATTTTTTTTGTCCCATCATATTAGAAACAGACAAAAAATGTCATGTGTTGTTTTGTTTCAGGTTTACAGAAGATAGGTGTTATCGTTGCTATGGTAAATACAAGTATACATGCTAAAGCTTTAGCTCATTCTGTAATAGCAAGTGGGGCTACTGTTCTCATGGTTGGAGAAGGTTGGTACAAGTATTTTTTATAATACTTTTCTACAGTTAACATCATACATTTTGCTGCCTTGCCTGATTGGTTTATGTTCGACAATAAATGAATAAAAAATATGCAGATTTTGTGAGAACAGCCCTATGAACCCTATATGTACATGTATGTCTATATGATTAAAATAACAAGAAGTGCCATAGAAGCTCATTTAAGCTATTGCATTTTTTTTTTGTTTTTCGAAGAAAGCAGGGGACTATTAAAATGGGTCGGTCCGTCTGTCTGTATGTCCGTCACACTTTTTGGGACACAATACATCTAACTCTAATTGAGCTAGAATGTTCAAACTTAGTGTAGGTGTTTATTACATGTAAATGTAGGTGAATGCCCTGATGGAGTTTAAAGATGAGCATTTTCTGCATAGGGTAAGCAGAGATACATGTAAGCAATTTGATTGGTTGATGCTTTGGGAGAGAGAGAGAGAAATGGGGTTTAACGTCCACTCGACACAAACTAGGTCATTTCGGGACTAACATATGGTTTAATTTTATTTTAATAATTCGCTTGCGCGTAGGGGTCTTTAGCAGTGGGAGGAAACCGGAGGACCCGGAGAAAACCCACGAGGTTGGACAGGCGACCCTACTCCTTGTCACGTACAACCGGGGATTCGAAACCACGCCAGTCGACTCAATGACAGACTTTATGATACAGCGCACGCACGCTAACCATTCAGCCATCCAAACCCCCCTTGATGCTTTGGGACACGATAACTTTTGTTGTACAATAATAAAGTGAGAGTGATCAAACTTAGTGTATAGTTTCACTACCAGGTACTGGGTACTTCATAACCTTGAATGAGTTTGATCAAGAACATATTATGCTTAGACTAAGTTTAGATAATCAATTTGATTGATCGATACATTTGAAAAAGATAATTGTTCAATTAATTGATATGTGTCATCTTTTTATTTTGGGATTTTGGCGGAGGACATCAGCAGCCTCACTATTGGCTTGTTTCATATTTTGTGCCGTCTTAGAAAAATCCTAATGTCAAGTACTGCAGGATCCCACAAGTACCCAATAGCTAAGCTACTCTATGAAGATCTTGTTTATTCAGCTTGTGTGGTAATCTTTTTCCTGCATTGATTCTTTTAGGTGATGATCTAAAGAACACTGCAATTGAAGCTGCTGAAGACATGAAAGAAGTAAAAATATGGATTCAGGGTTGTTCGTCATCTCAACTTCCAGCCGACTTCCTTTCCTTTGATGATCTGATGTATAGAACTTTACCTGTACCTATAGATAGAAGTTATAGGTCAGAGGTTAATGCCATGACAACGTGTTGTTATATCTATACATCTGGCACAACAGGTAAACTTTCAGTGAATGACAATATTTGACATTATGCCCATAATCAAAAAATTGTATTTTCAAATAGTTGCCGAGCTTTATGATAAATATCCTGATTCGGACTGTATTATCACATACATAATTTATATATTAATTATATCGTACTATACTTAATGAATTTCTTCTAAAAGATTCCTAGATTTGACAGACTTGCATTCTAAGTCTTTAAACCAAGAATTAGTTGTATATACTTGTGATCTTCTAGTTCTTCATGGAACAATACGCTTCGGAAAAAGAAAATCCCATTACGATGTACATGTACATAAAACATGGTATGCTTATCTTTGGACAATCGCAACTCAATTGACAGCCTTCAATGGTATGCTTATCTCTTTTGGTTTTCACTATAACTTTACTGTGACAGAGGTGTAAAAAAATCAAAAATTTTGATCAGAAACTCTTTATGTACATGTAGTATTGTAATTATAGGAAAAAAGGAATCTTTTTGATAACAGCTGTAGGTTGTACATGTATATAAAAACATATTTTGTTAGCACATATTGATTGGGTAGATTTATTGATTGATTAAATGGTTTTATTTATTGAAAAAAATAATTTATTTATTGAAAAAATGGATTGGTTTATTGAAAAAATGGATTGATTGATTGAATGGATTTATTTACCAGTATTAATTGAATGGATGTTTTTTTTTTTGATTGATTGAATGGATTTATATTTTGTTTGATTGATAGAATGGATTTATTTTTTGATAGAATGGATTTTTTTTATTGATTTAATGGATTTATTGATTTGAATGGATTTATTGCTGATTCTAGGATTACCAAAACCAACATTTATTCAACAACTTAAAGCCCAGGCAATAGGATCGACACATTATGTTCTCTCTATAAATGAGAATGATATTCTGTACCTTGTGCTCCCCCTATTCCATTCGGCAGCATGTATGAGTTTATGGAGTGCTTTAAATGCAGGTATAGTATTTAAGAGTGTTATGGCACACACAGAATCATAATTTATAAAAGTTTTACAGATTTTAATTTTGTAATGTTACCCAACATATATCATACACTCGGTCAATTCACATCTGACTTGAAAACTTGTCTTTTGTGCCATGAGGTTTTGTGGACTTGCCGCTTTATAAACGGACATATTATTAGTATTATCTATGCAGAAATTAGTTGAATCAGTACCAATGTGGATTGAATATTTTGTTGACACATGATTTTTGTGTGTGGTCTTAAAACTGCCTGCTTAAATAACGATAAGAGTTATGTCCCTTTATTTTCAGTAAAAATGTCCGACAAGAAAATTTTTGAAATCCCATCACTGATTCAAACGTCGTAGAAATTAGCAATAGTTAATATCCCTTAAGGATAATTACTCAGATATGCTCATCTGTGTTAGAGAATAACGTAAATCTATAGAACTTTTTAAAATGATGATTCTAGTATATTGTATTAGACTTGAGTCTAGTCCTGGTGCCAGATGAATATCAAATGTATTTTGCACAATTTGTTTTGCTTTTCTTTATTTCAATGTTTAAGGCTTACCTAAACCTGTTATTTTAAGTAATGCGAAAGCGTCTAGAATATCATTTCATCTAGAGATGTTAGAAGTAAATGAGAGTGATACTATATATCTAACACTACCTCTCTACCATTCGGCAGCATGTATTAGTTTGTATGGTGCTATGCGCACAGGTAAAATTATTAACCTATACTAACGTATAATCAATATATTCACCTAATTTTATCTTCATGTACTTCAAGTCTTCTTGTAGAAAACTTACTGGTAGAATTTTTTAATAGATATAAAGTTTAGATCCTTTTTACTGTTCTCTTATTCTAAGTCTTCTTGTACTCAGGCTCCCAGGGATCATAATGATAATTAATTGTTTTTTCTGCTTTTTTCTTTTCATAAGCATTCGTTCTTTAAATATTTGTACACCAATCTGATTAAAATACAGATCTATATTTGGTTTGCCTACACTACATGAAGATCTGACCAGTTGTAGTTGAACTTCGTGTCAGGCATCATACGAGCGACTTTTAGCCGTATGTCCAATCAGCGTTGATGTTTCTAGTGGTTTACCCAAAGTTCCGTGCACTTCTCACCAAAAACTCGCCGTAACAGACCGTTTCAATGGTTAATCCCACACATCATCCAGAATGCGAGTAATATAACAATTCTTCTAGATCCTGGTGTAGTAAAGACAAGTAAAAATTAAAAAAGAAATGAAATCGGATCTGTGTTTTAATCAGATCGTTTGTACACCAACTTTCTTCTTTTAACCCTTTAGGTCAGCCACATTGCACGATCAAATTAATTTCTATTTTAAGCCAGAGTTGTAGGTTTTTATGTTAATCGTACAATTTAGCTAATACAAATTGTAATCATGCAAGAAATCACTTAAACTGGCAGCATAAGTTTTGATCAACACTTTGACTACAAAGGATATTCTAATCATAAGTCTTCAGTCACATTAAGCTCTTTTTATTTTAAAACATAAAAAGAGTTCCCTTAATTATTGCATTTGCCTCTGAGTATATTCTATGGATATTTGCATACTCAAATAACACACTATTTATGGATAACATTACTATGGTTTATTTCACTGCGAGGTTATCAAGCATATAACACTAAATGCCATACAAAGAATAGAATGGGTATTTGCATGTTGTAAACCAATCTAATGAGTCTCTTTTACTGTGATTTTACTTCAGGCGCCACAGTAGTTTTACGGAAGAAGTTTTCAGCTTCTCATTTTTGGCAGGATGTAAGAAAATATAATGTTACAATATTTCAATATATTGGAGAGTTGTGTCGATATCTTCTAGCACAAAAACCAGTAAGTAAATTATAACTAACCATTTATTTACTTTTTGAAAAGTTTTTTGTGTAGATTGTGCATGTATGTTTACCAACAGTTTGAATCTATAGTAATGGGACAATTGTAATATCAGAGAATCATGTCTTATTTCTTCATTGTTCAGGAAAAAAATTCTTGTGAAATTCATCATGTTTCAATCTTTAATTTTAGAAAAACCAAGAAAATATTATGTTTTAATCTATTAATATCAGAGAAGCCAATAAATGCTTGACTTTGTTGCTTGACTTATGTGCACCTACATATAGTAAGTTCTTCATCCCTTCTTTTATTGACTCCAACCCTGTGGGTTTTCTCTGGGTCCTCTGCACAAATGAATTATTGAAATCAAATTGAACCATATATTAGTCCCACAATGACCTGGTTTGTGTCGAGTGGATGTTAAACCCCATCTCTCTCTCTCTCTCTCTCTCTCTCTCTCTCTCTCCAAAGATGTTTTAAGATATCAATTGCAACATTTTGACTTTGTCAAGTTTTCAGCAATTGAAAGTTTCACACATGTTAATTGTTGTCTCTCTGTTCAACTCCTTGTAAGTGTCTATTATTTCTGATATTTTTTTTACAGTCAGAATTAGACAAGCAACATAAAGTGAGAGCTATTATTGGCAATGGTTTACGAAAAGATATATGGACAGAGTTTCAGACAAGATATGGCATTCCATTTATATGTGAATTTTTTGCAGCTACTGATGGAAACACGTTACTCTTTAATGCAAGTAATAAACCTGGTGCTATAGGAAGACTTTCTCCTTTTATGGTAAAATATATTCCTTAAAATTTACTCTCATATTGATTCCGGTAGGATAATACCACATTCTTGAAAAACCAGTAGAAATCATTTGACTCTATTCCCTGTCTACAGTTGGTAAAAGAAATGAAAGTTCTACTTTTCTACGCTCTCCGAGTTAATGAAGATGGGCATATGTCATGCCATGTGGTATGAGAGAAATTTTGCTTGGTCAGCAGTGTTTCCGCTTACTTTTCATCGAATTCCAACTTTCAAGAGTTCTTTTACATGTATGCCTATATATTCACGGGACCTTGGTTTCTTGTGCCATCCGAACAACCAGGCGCTGTTCTTTACCAAGAGTTCCAGTCTGTACCACTAATAAGGGGAAACCATGCTGAAAAACCTGCTGTAGTACCAGCCAACATCGGGTTCGAATCAAGGACCTCGTGGTGTATGAGCCAACGCCTTATTCACTGAGACACAATTAGTTCACACATATATGCATGTTAACATCACTAGAATACTACAGGAAAAAAACATTATCACAGATACGGTCTAGTAATTTCCATAGCTATGATAAATGTAGGCCTACAGTTATTTTGTTCTATGAAAATGTGAAATACATGCATTTAAAATTTACAGAGAAGACTTGAACCCAATCCCAGAAGATTAGTTAAATATGACTATAATACAGCAGAACCTGTTAGAGATGAAAATGGTAGATGTATTGAAGTTGATAAACCAGGTAAAAATGACTAGAATAAAGATAATCTATAACAAAATAAAGATCAAAATAAGAACATTGCAGCACAAACTTTAAGTACCGGTACAGGGCTTAACACCATACAAACAAAAGTAGACCCTCCTTTTACTCAAAAAACATTTTGGCCCCAAAATTATTCACATCCATCAGTTCTCTTTACATTGGCTTCTACTGATTTCACATCAACATCTTTATTGTTCTGATATGAATATTGTAATAATAATTTTGCTATCTTTTTCATACAAGCCAGACCATTCTTCAAGGTCCTTTTAAACTCAGATTAACTTAATATAGTAACAACAGTTTGCACATTAAAATACTACATTTCTTACTGACTTTAAGAATTAAGTTCAATTGTTTGCAAATAAAGCTCTCATCGAAATGGACTGTAGGTCACCACTTTTATAGACAATGAGTTCCTGGAAGATATTATAATCAACTTAAGTTATAGTGTCGGGTCCAAACTCTAAACTGTCTCTCTAATTTGCAATAAGCAGTGGAAGGTGGTATGCTTGCTCTTTCCAAAACACCTGATCTTCTCATTTTCAATCAAAAAAAAAGTTTTGTAGTGGTGTCAGTTAATATGGAAATGAGGGATTGACATCCTACTTTTCTGCACCAACTAGGCTAATTCCAATTCCAGCTGTCACTGGTAGTTTTATATGCACGTCCCATTCGAATGACAAGGCACTTTTCCAGTTTATTTGGTATAATATATTAACTGATTATTGAGAAAAAGCCAAATTACTATTCAAGTTACATTATCATGTTATTGAAAGTACCGGTACAAGAATATTTGTTAGCTATAACCCAAAATAGAAGTGATATACATGTGTTTTAGGCAAGTAAACATACTCTGCATCATACACAGCACTTATAGCTTATTGGGGTGACATTTTGGAAATGAAATGGTCTTAAAAATCCTACTATTCTGCACTAACCTGGCTAACAAAGATGAGATGATATACATAGTAGATATTAAAGTATTTAACAGGGGCGGATCCAGGATGCATGGTCTCTATCGTCATTTTGGCGTATATACATACACATTGAGTTTTTTAAACAGAGAAACTCAGCACCTCGTTTGACGTCAATTTTTATTATGAATTGATACAATGACATTGTGATTCAATTTCATGGATGCAAAGCATTAATTGTGATATCACATAATGTCTATATCATTATCTCGTGCTTTGAGTGTCCATCCTGTCCCACATCTGAGATAAAGGATAAAGCATACGGCCGAGAAACTATTCTCATAAAAAGTGTTGATTTACAAAAAAAGTTATGCAGCTGAGCTGTGGGGGGGGGGGGGGAGGGGGGTCGATCCCCCAAACCCCCCCTCTGGATCCGCCCCTGTTTAAAATTATTTCATGAAAGCATATTTTGTGTCCCCCCCAAAACATCTTGTTTTATTTTGATTTTATGTTGAGTTATGAATGATTTTGTGCTCCACTGTCAACACAGGAGCCCTCCCATAAAAGAATAAAATTAGTAATCAAGTTTGACTTTTGTTCAATCTTTCAAAACAAAATTTAAGCTAATATACAGCTGGCCAGAACACAAATTGAAACAACATATTATATATATTTGAAATAGGCCAACTCAGAACATATTAATGTGCCACACATGGTTATTAAAAGACTCTACCAAACAATAACACATTATAAGCTGTATCATTTCTCTTTAACAACATAAAAAGGGCGTAAGTTACACCATTAATATGTTAAACAATTGATGAAAGATGTTCATTTCCTTTAACTTATATTACAGGGGAGGCTGGTTTGTTTATAAGTTTTATACCCCCTGAAGCTAGGAATAAACCAATTTATCGAGCAGCTGCTGAAGCAACCGCAAAAAAAATAATCCGCAATGCTTTTGTTGATGGTGATGAATATTATAATTATGGAGATCTGCTTTATCGAGATAAGGATTACTTTCTATATTTTAATGACAGAATAGGAGATACTTTCAGGTAATAATGGTTTTTAGCCAAAACAGACCAAAGGACTTATGCAATCACTTCTGACTGTACATCTGTCCAGCATAAATAATATACAATTTTGACTTTTTCGAGAGAACCATTGATACGATTTCTGGCAGATGTCTTTGTATGGCAATGGGGTGACAGATTAAGAATATTTATACATAAGTGGGACTTAATACAGTAAAAATATTCTTCTAAAATACTACCGAAGGATATTTTTCTTTGATTGTTAATCAACATAAATCCCACTATAGAAATTAAGGTTTATTCATAAAAATGGGTTTGTATACATAGTTTTCTTTAGGGTTTCCTTACCCCAGATGCAAAGCAGAGGTACTTATAAGGGCAAATGCGTGCTTGAGGAGGAAGGGGGGCAGGTGTTGGAAGGCTTCATTGTTATCTGGTTCTTAAGACCAAAATATTTACCGGTATTTATTATTTGTAATTATTTATAATTATATATTGTTTACAGTTGGAAAATAAATTTATATCTATATATTGTCTACAGATGGAAAGTATTAATATATAATTATATATTATCTATGGAAAGTATATATTTATAATTATATATTGTCTACAGATAGAAAATACAGTTTTTATTTATAATTATATATTATCTATGGAAAGTATTTATTTATGATTATATATTGCCTACAGGTAGAAGGATATATTTATGCATGTAACTATATATTGTCTACAGATGGAAAGTATTTATTTATGATTATATATATTGCCTACAGGTGGAAAGGAGAGAATGTATCTACAACTGAAGTAGCTAATATTTTAACCAATGTAGATTTTATACAAGATGCTAATGTCTATGGTGTTGCTGTTCCAGGTTTGTTCGATTTGTTTACATTAGTGACAACATTTTTAAAAATTTTATTCTAGATTCTTTCGTATTTAAGTACCGGTATTCTAAATACATTTCTGTCCAGTTACTCCAATAAAAGGAGATATCTTTCTTATCAGTAGCTTAATCGAAATTATTTAAAACTGAAAATTTTTAGATTGATCAAATTTGTAATAAATTCATAATTTCCATCTTATAGGACAAGATGGCCGAGCAGGTATGGCAGCTTTAACATTAACCAAAGATACAAATTTAACTCCTGAAAAATTACAGAAAATTTACGATTATTGTGAAAAGGAATTACCACGTTACGCTAGACCAATATTTCTCCGTAATTTAGAAGAAGACATTTTAACTGTTACCTTTAAACAAAAGAAGAACAATATTGTGAAAGAGGGCTTTAATCCAATGGAGATAAATGATCAACTGTTTTTTAGAGATGAACAAACCAGAACTTATATACCTTTAACAGCAGATGTTTATCCAAAAGTTCTTAAAGCAAAATTATAGATTACACTGTGATAGTTAAACTGTTTCAATGGCATTTTCTAATTGAACTACATATAAAGCATACAATTCTATGGAATGCAATTAGTGTTTATTACTGAGCAAGGTTTCAACAAGCAAATGATGGCTGTGACATAGACCAGAGATGGGAACTCGAGTCCAACTTAAGTCACATCAATGATCCGACTTTCGACCTGACTTGAAATATTTATTGCACCTCGAGACTCGAGTTGGACTCTGCAGTCCTGATGACAAGTGACTTGAAAGTGCGTAGGACTCAAGTTGCGGCACAGGGGCATGAATTGCTGACTCATTTGATGAACAGGCAACTTTACTTGGGACTCGACTCAGTACTAAAGTTAGCGACTTGGGACTCGATTCAGACTCGAGGTGAGGCGACTTGGGACTCGACTCGGACTCGAAGTCCTGCGATTTGTTCCCACCTCTGACATAGACAGTAATTGTATTCCATAGAATTGTGTCCTGTGTTTATACTAAGATGGTTCTAGTATTATTTAGTTACTTAATTAAAGATGCATTATGTAAGATTTAGATAAAGATCTAGCCATTCTTTGATGATCTAGAGAGTTGTTTATAGGCTAGTCATGTGAATGAATGTCTAAATAATAGTTTATAATTCATTTGAAGCCAAAATAAAGATCTGCTATAGGGAAATTTAAATCTTACATAATGCATCAAAAATGATGAAGAAATCACCCAACGAAAGTCATTTTTGCTTGGATTATTATTTTTGAATAATATTTCTGAGAGTAAAAAATGTAGTATTTTCTTTTGCTAAAGTCCTAAATGAAATTGGAATGACAATTTCTTCTTTTATCTTAATGTGTGAAATTATTGATATCTAATGATACTTTTGAATCCTGTAATATGTGCTGTAATCACAAGTTTTGGAAAATGTGAATTCAGATTTTTGCTGCTGATGTTAAGATGGCCTGTTCTGAAAACATTTGAACAACAACAAACTTCCATGTGATGATTTTGAACTAATTGTAAAATACACCAACTTGTGTCGAATGATTTTGATATACTTTTTAAGTATAAAGTTGTGAATGCTTTTAAAAGGAAATGATTTGAAGGCAGCATGAGTACAAATAATAGATTGAGATTCCTTTTATACACTTAATAATATTAATTAAAACATTGTTTATATTTTATATACTGGTAAATAATATTGATATAAACCTTGTTTCATATACCGGTAAATGATATTGCAAAAAACATTATTTTTTATTTTATATAGCATTTTACGTTTTATTCTTTGGTTAAAGTTTATATACTGGTAAAAATATTGATGATAACCTTGTTTAGATCGAATACACCGGTAAATAATATTGATATTAGCATTGTTTTAGTTTTATATACAGGTAGTTATGTTGGTAATAACATTGTTTAAATTTTATATACCGGTAAATAATATTGATAATAAACTTGTTTAGATCTTATATACCGGTAAATAATATTGATAATAACCTTGTTTAAATTTTACATACCGGTAAATAATATTGATAATAACCTTGTTTAAATTTTATGTAACTGGTAAATAATGTTGATAATAGCCTTGTTTAGATTTTTTAAACTGGTGAATGCTCGTATATAATACTGATAATAGCCATGTTTACATTTGATATAACAATAAATAATAGCATTATTTAAGTTTCTTATACCGGTTACTATTATGATAATAACATTGTTTTAATTGATATATTACAGAAGTAATAATATTGAATAATAACGCACAAATATAGATGTAGAAATTATATTCTGAGTCTTAATTGAATCTGTTTGTGTCTTTTATGTTGTGAGTTTGGGGGGTTGTGTTTAATATGATGTCATTTGACAATTGTTGTAAAACATAGTGTCATTTGACAATTACTCAAAATATTGTTGTAAAAAAATAAGGAAATTCTACCTTTTAAACAAAGGTATGTACACAGACCTTCATTGAATAATTAAATTGGATATTCAACAAATAATTTTGATTAATGGCAAAATTGATCATCCAGGTAAGATCTAGGTGAGGCAGTGTGTTTATATTAATATATTTACCACTAATTACTTTTAATAATTAATTTGTTAAACAAATGGTAACTCCTCTGTTTATTGTTGTTTTTGTTTTAATTGATTGAAGTAGCGAAAATCTTTTAAGTTTAGATGTTTTTTACACTCTTAGCGGATACCATAATTTATTTTGATTTTTTAATGAATTATTTATATACAGTAAATATTTTGTTGTAATTTTAATTTTGATTTTTATCATTTTAAGATACTTAGTGATGCTTTTTTAAAAGATATCTTTTGACTGAGGATAGATATCAAGAAAATTGTTGATAGACCATCTATTAACTTTAGATTTAACCAAATCTTGTAAGCATATGTCAAGGCTGGTGCTTTATACATACAGTATATCAGATTTCCTCAAAATGTTGTAGCTATGCACCTAAAGCTTCTCTGTCATGAATGACCACCTTGAAAGAGGAAAATCTTCAAGAACTGTGACGACTGCCTGAAATATTTCAACAAAATTTTGAGGGATTTTTGATTTTGTAATTGGTCACAGAAATATATTTCACTGCAGTTGTTTTATAGGGTTTCTATCCAAACCCACATTAAGGTTTCTAACAAAATGTATAGAAATTGTACATATGGATTGAACTGAAATAACATTAGACTATTAAATAATATGTTCTCTCCACATAAAGATTTTTTAACAAAAGTTTGAGAAATTGATAATGAAATCTTCATCAAATTAATCTGGTTTATTATGTGTCATAGAGCTAAAATTTGTACCACGACTTTATGTCACATCCATTGAAATGCTCAATTCTTAAACTATATTAGTGTAAGTATTTGTGAATAATGCCCCAGAATTTTTGACAACTGTAGTTATTAAAAACAAATAAAGATTATTATTGCTCAAACTATGGTTATGTTAAGATTTGTATTCATTATTTGAAATATTTTGATTTAGTAAGGTAGAGATTCTAAAGATTCTAAAGATCTTAAAGGACTATGTTATCTTTATTGCTGTTACTTGTACAGATGTTAGCTCAAAATAACATTTAAAAGAACTCTTTGAATTGGGTCATAGATAAAGATATTGATTTCATTAAATTTTGAGATGAAAATAGTTTTTTCTGTGAATCAATTTTGATAAAAGTGTCTAAACCTTAATATTGCCACTGTGGCACTTTGAGAGAGATGCTGACTCACCACTAACCAGTAGGTCCAGGGTTTGGTCAATCCTGATGCTGGCCGGGATTTTTAAGCCTGGTATCCCTTTGTCAGTGGTTCAGGATGGGTGGGCCTGGCGATGACCAGCATCTAGTCATTTGGATTCATTAGCCCAGTTGATACAGAAACTTCATTTCAGTTCTAAACGTCTTTAAGTCTCTGGATTGAGGTGTTGAGATAAAATTCAAAATGTACAAGATTATTATTTTGAATTAGTGGTATTTTAACCTTATTTTTATTAGATTAATAAACCACAAATGAGAACAGTTTTGCATATATTTATGCACTTTTTAAATAGGAATTTATGTCATCGTAAAATTCAAATCTAAAATTTCTAAAATCATCGACATTGTACAAAAATGAAATATGTTGTATTTCCACCATGAAATATGTAATTATTAAATGTCATATAGAGCAACTTTTCTAATTTTTTTTTATGGTGGTATTAAAAATTTGCTATGCATTTAGATGACACAGAACCTAGATTCGGTACGAGGAAGAGCTAGGAAGTGAACTCAATCTCTATCTTGTAGAGAATTTATAATTCATGATAAATTACAACCTGGGGGATAACAAGGATGGATCATAATAATAACATGTTCATTTATATAGCGCTCACAGCATATAGGCCTACAGTTAATTAATTTGATTAATCCTGATAACATTTCTCCAAAAAAATTATTACATTATGTTTTATCATATTCATCTCTGTAATCTATTTTTAAAATGAAAGGCAGGTCAATACCCTCTTTGATGAATTTAGCATCTATTATTTTTGTATTGAAATGAATGTTATTTGTAAGACTTGTTGATGATGCCTACAAGATAATCTAGATTTATTCTATATTTAGCACCTGGACTATGACCTGGATTTCTAGCCTATGATAAATATTATCAGTACTTACAATTACATATGTGTAGTAACACCTTGACATATCATTGTTTGTAGGCTATACATGTGGGAACTTATGAAGTAGGGTGATTTGCTGGACTTTAATCATAAAACCATTACTCTGTTGTATATTGATGTATGATTGAACTGTTGTAAAAATAAGGTTATTGATTTCGTTTGTGGAGTCATGCAAGCCATAGAGTAGAGTTTTGCTGTTCTTATACTCATCAGGTAATGTAGAAATGGTTTTTCGTCGAAAAGTATTGAAGTTTGGACAGTGTAAAAGATAGTATTCGCTATCCTCGAAAAGGTGACCACAATTGCAAGCTGGATTTTCAGAGATGTGTCTAAAAAACAGGTGACCATTTAAGTCACTGCATAACGATTTTTGAACACAGATTTGATATAAAATGAATGTGAAAGAAATTAGTGCTAAATACACAAGATTAAATGAAACCCAGGTTACAGTTACAGTGATAGATTCTGTCATATTTATCTTGTAAAGGGCATCATGATTTTTATCTAAAATGCCCCAGCCCGGTTATCAAGAGCTGTAACAAGCTCTTGGGCTAAAAGATGCCTGGCGCTTAATCTTTATTCCTTTGCATTTATTTTGTTTATTCTCCAGACACATTTGAAAATTCTGGACCACAATAGAAGATGATTGATAAAGTTTTAATTGGTTTAGCCGGAGCTGCCGGAATATCTTTTACAGCATGGAAGACAATGTTTCCGTGGATAGGAGATGATCTAAAGATTCTACAAGCTGGATTAAAAGTTCGGAAAGTGATGAATGAAGAAATAGAACGAGGATATTTCCTTATAGATAAATTTGAAGATAAAGTGAAACTACATCCAGACAAACCCTTTATAATATATGATGATAATATTTATAGTTTCCAATTCGTAGACCAGCAAGCGAATAAAGTAGCCAACATTGCCAAAAGATGGGGTGTTACTGTCGGAGATATTGTAGCTCTGTACGCATTCAATTCACCATCATTTATATGGACATTTTTTGGTGAGACTTTTATTAACCTATCTGTTTATATGCCCACATTTCATATCTGAGTATATGATGTTATCCCTGCCCTTCGTTCCATGGAGCCACAGTGGCTCTGTATGTACGGTTGTGGCTCACGAGGAAGTTCTGGAATCGATGCTGGTTTTGGTCAAGCAAGACCCTTGGGATTTTCCAACCCGAGTTTCTCTTGTAACTGGTGCCGGATAGAGAGTCTGGCAAAGATAAAGTGTCTAGTCATTCGGATGTTACGGGAAACTGTGTACACCATAGCAGCCCTATTTAGGAAAAAAATGGTAGGCTGTAGTGATGCTGTCTGGGCAAAATTTCATACTGCATTGCATATGCCCATCTTCAAAAGTAGACAGTTTAACCCCTTTTCTTTATGATTCTGTCTTAACTGCCACAATTCTTGTAAAATACAGATGGTTCCGAAGTTGAAACCCTATCAAAATACAGTGTTGCTGCTTATATGTACTTTTCTGATCATTTTCATGAAATCATTTGGAGAAATTTAAAGATTTACCCAGGACTAGATTCATTTGGTAAAATGCTTAACATTCACCACAGATCGGTTGCAACAGAATTACCAATTTTCATTCAGATTTATTCAGATATTAGTTTGTGGGTGACAATGGTAAACTGGCTTCATTTAGTCCATCCACAACAAATGGTCTGGCTCAACCTGCATATTTGTAGAATAAGTAACAAAAGAATTAACAAAATATTTTATGAAGATGTCTCTTTAAGAGTTCATTTTCATTAAAAACGTTACATAGTTACCATATTGCATCCATTTCAGGATTAGCCAAGTTGGGTGTTTCCGTAGCTTTAATAAATTCTAACTTACAAGGAAAAGCTCTGGTACACTGTGTTAAAGCAAGTGGAGCTAAAATACTGATTGTTGGTGAAGGTAAGATATATGCATAATACTTTTTAAAAAAATGTAATATAAATTCTAAGATGTTGTTCTGATATGTTCATTTGAGATTTATTAGGTCATCTTATCATCCCCGAAACTTATTTTTATCTAAATGACCAGGGAAATGGATTATCAATTTAATACATCTAATTATAACACTGTCAACTGCATTTTCTTCATTTGTATGTCAGTGTGTGTCATTTCAGCATGATGAATTGTAACCGTTTTCATACTGCCATGCTCATTCACTGCTGCTAGCGGGGTTTGGTGGCCGAATGTTTAACGTGTGCGCATTGCATCAGTAGGTCTGTTATTGAGTCAAGTGGTGTGGTTTCGATTCACAGCTTGTACGTGACAAGGAGTAGGGTCGCCTGTCCAGCCATATGTTGAACCATATGTTAGTCTCAAAATCACCTAGGTTGTGTAGAGTTGATGTTAAACCCTCTCTCTCTCACTCTCTCTCACTGCTGCTAGCCTGGAGGTCGTGGGTTCGATCCCGGTGTTGGCTGAGAAAGTGCATCAGGATGTTCCGGCATGGTTTCCCCATGTCAGTGGTGCAGGACGGAGGGCCTGACAAGGACAGCTGTCTAGTCATTTGGATGGTATGAAAATATCAAGGTTCTGTGTACACACTGGCGTACACATAAAAGATCCCTTGCCATTTGGAATTTGATATAAGAGTAGGCTGTAGCACCGCTGTCTGGGCAAAATTTTCCTCATTGCACATTGAATGGCGTAAGTCTGTTTTCATTAGCCCAGTTGGAGCAGAACAGGAGGACGTTAAACCCAACTTCATTTTATTTTCATTAACTGCAGACTCATTGAAATAATGACACCTCGTAAAGATATGCTGATTTTGAAAGCAACCAGATCAATGATTACATGTTTGTTATTACGATTTGGAGTTGAGGAAATACTTGTTTAAAGGACAATATTGGTGTCAGTCATTATTGCCCGTGTATCTGTTATCACTCGTCACTTCAATCAGTTATATAGAGGGATAACTTGTGTTTTCCTTTTGCGTTCGTCACTTCTGATTGTTGAAACCTTTATTACGCAACTATTGTACCAATGATCTTTGTGTTAAAGTTATATTTGGAAGGTGTTTAACCAGTTCTATCACATGTGTGATAATGACTGACACCAATATTGTCCTTTAATATGAATACAAACGTATCTGTGATTTACAAATGACCTGACTGGCTGTGTTTATAGGCAATTGATTTTGTTTTTGACAAAAAATTAGATTTTAGCTTTTGAAACATGGATATTTACAGACTATGAACTCATTAAATCAACACTTGGTTTTTTTTTGTTCACCTTCTTTTTACAAATGTGAACGATCTGTTTCAGGTATGGAGTTATTGAATACGGTTATAGAATTGGACGTGGAGCTAGATAATTATGATGTTTATATACAAGGTTCCAGTAAAGATCAAATTCCACCTAATTATACAAGTTTTGATGATTTAATGAGAAAAACCATGTCTACACCGATACATAAAAATGTCCGTTCTAAAATGAATGTGATGTCAACATTTTGTTTTATCTATACATCAGGAACAACAGGTTTGTACAGTTCTATTTATGATTCATTTACATGATCTAACTTATTTCGTCATATGGCTTCTCATCTACATGATCTAACATATTTCTTTATATGGCTTCTCATTTACATGATCTAATATATTTCTTCATATGGTGTTCTTAATTAATATGTTGTCTCATTTACATAATCTAACCCATTTCTTTAATGTTATCTCTCATTTTCCTGAACTAAAATCTAACATATTTCTAAACATGGCCTCTCATCTACATGATCTAACATATTTCTTGATTTGGTGTTCTTAATTAATATGGTGTCTCATTTACATGATCTTACATATTTTATTATTGTATCTGATTTACATGATCCAACATAATTCAGACATGATCTAACATTTTTCATATGGTTTCTCATTTACATGATCTAACATTTTTCATATCGTTTCTTATTTACATGATCCAACATAATATTTCATTATATGGTTTCTCATTTACATGATGTAAAATATGTCTTGAATGTGGTCTCCCATTCACCTGATCTAATGTATGTCTTGAATGTGGTCTCCCATTCATCTGATCTAATGTATGTCTTGAATGTGGTCTCCCATTCACCTGATCTAATGTATGTCTTGAATGTGGTCTCCCATTCACCTGATCTAATGTATGTCTTGAATGTGGTCTCCCATTCACCTGATCTAATGTATGTCTTGAATGTGGTCTCTCATTCACCTGATCTAATGTATGTCTTGAATGTGGTCTTCCATTCACCTGATCTAATGTATGTTCTGAATGTGGTCTCCCATTCACCTGATCTTATGTATGTCTTGAATGTGGTCTCCCATTCACCTGATCTAATATGTCTTGAATGTGGTCTCCCATTCACCTGACCTAACATATGTCTTGAATGTGGTCTCCCATTTGCCTGATCTTAGATCTAACACATTTCTTAATATGGTCTCTAATTTACCTGATGTAACAGGTTTCTTAGTTACAGATGGTCCAAGTGCTAAAGGTTTAATATGTGAATTTTATTTATTTCAGGACTGCCGAAACCAGTTTTCATCTTCCATATAAAGAGTATATCTTTATCAAAGTTAGTTGGATTATTTGGTGTGAAAGAAAATGATATTTTCTACATATTCCTACCATTATATCATACCTCTGGTTGTATGAGTCTATTTGGTGCCATTGATCTTGGTAAGTGTAGTTCAGACTGCATAATATAGAGACTCAACACAAAATAGGTCATTTTGGGACTAACATATATAGTAATATTTGTTTTAATAATTTGCTTGCTTACATAGGTCTTTAGTAGTGGGAGGTAACTTGAGGATCAGGAAACAACTTACAAGGCTTAGGCAGATGACCTTACTCCGTGTCATGTATGCTACTTGACTCAGTGACAAATCTTTTGATCTAAAGCACATGTTATACCAACCTGTTCTATTGCAATTTGTGGAGTTATTCCTCCATTTACTTTTAGAATTGTGAAATCATGTTAATGCTTTCTAGTTTCGTAGTCAAGTGGAAGGCTTAGATAATATTAATAATCGTTTTATTGAATAAATACACCACAAATGCGCATTTGTTCCTTGGAGAATTTTTGTCTGGATTTATATTTGATTGTTAGGAAACTCACAAGTCTATGTGGCGCCCCTGGGCAAAAGTTTCTGTGATGCCCACCCCCGCATACTTAACTGCTTTGTTCATAACCTGTGCTCAGTTGACTTTAAAATACAATTTTTTTATACTTTTAAGACTTTATCTAAATAACTATTTATTAAATCAACTTATATGTAAACTTTTTATGTTTATTTCCCTTTCAACTCTCCATTTGATTGTGGAAAAAACATAATTCTACTCTCTCTGTTTGCTGAAATATGACCTAGTTTACACAGGTTTAGGGGAAGCGAGGCCAGTGATTTGCTATCTCAGCCTAGTCCATAAATATTTGCTATCTCAGGCTAGTCCATAAATATTCAAAGGAGATTTCTGGTATGCACTTAGATAATTTGCTGCCCCCGGGCATAAGTCCCCCTCAGCCTCCCCGTATGTTGATTGTTCAAGCTTGTAAACCTGTTACCTGAAAAAGTTCTCTATGAAACTTTTAAAAAGTTTGGTTGGATATGCTGACAGCGATAAGGGGGCCTAATGTAAACATGATTACTGAATGCGGATCATGTAGAATCCCTTGAAAGCCAATGTTTTTCTTCTATATATTTGGATTATAGGAGCCACTGTGGTAATAAGGAAGAAATTTTCTGTCAGTTATTTTTGGAAGGATGTGCATCAGTATAATATAACAGCTATACAGTATATTGGTGAATTATGTCGTTATCTGTTGAGTGGACCAAAGGTATATATATTGATAAATATTGTTTTTACATTGAGATTTTTCTATAACACTAGGATCCAATAACTGCATCTCTACTAAAATGAGTACCACTACACATTAACAATGTGAGAATATTGAGCCTCTTTATCTCATCAACACAATACTGAGTCAATCCATCTCATCAACTCAATACTGAGCCACTCTATCTCATCAACACAATACTGGGCCACTCTATCTCATCAACACAATACTGAGCCACCCTATCTCATCAACACAATACTGAGCCACTCTATCTTTTCAACATCGATACTGAGCCACACTATCTCATCAACACAATACTGATCACATCAACACAATACTGAGTAACTCTATCTCATCAACATCGATAATGAACTACTCTATCTCATCAACACAATACTGAGCCACTCTATCTCATTAACACAATACTTTGTCATTTTGAGACTAACATACGGTAATATTCATTTCTATGGTTTTATGTGCAATCCGAGGAGGAGAATTTTGCCCATACAGCAATATCTCTGCCAACTCTTCTTCAAATTACAACCAACTGCCTTGGGTTCTTTTACATGCACACAAGTGGAGCTTTGTCTTTGTCTGAACATGAATGATGAAATATTCAGGAATATTTATTGATGGACAAAAGATAATCCATATCATTTTTCATAGTTATAGATATCCTTTCTTATGATACATTACCCAACAAAGAATGACTGTATTTCATGTGGACGTATATTGTCGTCGCCCCTGTCCGTCCGTCCACAATTGTTTGTGAACAGTCTACAGGTCACAATTTTTATCCGATTTCAATGAAACCTGAAATATAGGTTTATCACCCTAAGATCTCGGTTCCTTCGATATTGGCATGTATCGGACTGTAACTTCATGGATTATGGCCCCTGATTGTACAAACCAGCGGCTTCCAGGCAGGATACGCCCACATTTTTAAGAGATGGATAGAGAACAAGCTAAAAAGAAAGTGATTTTTCCTACAATCAAGGGCCATAATTCATAAAGTTACAATTCGATATGCGCAAATATCGAAAGGAACCAAGATCTTTGGGTTATAAACATGCATTACCAGACCCATCTACGATAATCAGAAGTCACAACATAAAAATTAAAATATTGAAAATATCACTAAATCTGTTCTAAAGTTTGATATTAACACAGATAATTATATCATTTTTACAAGGAATAATATTAATATGGTTGTATGATTTCCTCTTACTCTCCTTCCATCCATTCATCTGTGTTCACATAATCACCATACAGAATTAATTTCTTGATCAATTTTCAGCAATTTTTCAGAACCAAATTTTTTTCTTTTGATAAATCTATAAGTATTTTATAATTTCTTTGTCTGAACATGAATGATGAAATATTCAGGAATATTTATTGATGGACAAAAGATAATCCATATCATTTTTCATAGTTATAGATCCTTTCTTATGATACATTACCCAACAAAGAATGACTGTATTTCATGTGGACGTATATTGTCGTCGCCCCTGTCCGTCCGTCCACAATTGTTTGTGAACAGTCTACAGGTCACAATTTTTATCCGATTTCAATGAAACCTGAAATATAGGTTTATCACCCTAAGATCTCGGTTCCTTCGATATTGGCATGTATCGGACTGTAACTTCATGGATTATGGCCCCTGATTGTACAAACCAGCGGCTGCCAGGCAGGATACGCCCACATTTTTGAGAGATGGATAGAGAACAAGCTAAAAAGAAAGTGATTTTTCCTACAATCAAGGGCCATAATTCATGAAGTTACAATTCGATATGCGCAAATATCGAAAGGAACCAAGATCTTTGGGTAATAAACATGCATTTCAAGTTTCATCAAAATCGGATTAAAATTGTAACCTCTACAGGGTCCACAACCTTGATATACCACATTTTTACACCTTTCGCATACAAGCGGTGGCCACTTTGTCCGGCAGTTTTGGTTTGATTATCAGGAAATTTGAACTCAACCTTTATTATGGTGTTACGTGATATATTCAAACGATTTTTAAAATCAGATAATAAGTGTGACCTTCAGAGGGACCACAAGCTAAAAGAGGCGATTTTTCGTATAATCAGGAGCCATAATTCATGAAGTTACGATCCGATATGCGACAATATCAAAAGGAACCAAGATCTTTAGGTTATAAAAATGCATTTCAAGTTTCATCAAAATCGAATTAAAATTGTGACCTCTACAGGGTCCACAACCTTGACATATACCATATTTTTACACTATTCGCATACAAGCGGCGGCCATTTTGTCCGGCAATTTTGGTCCTCTTTTCATGAAATTCGAACTCAACCTTCATTACGGTGTAACAGTGATATAATCAAACGTTTTTTTAAATCGGATAATAATTGTGACCTCCAGAGGGACCACAAGCTAAAAAAGGCGATTTTGCGTACAATCAGGGGCCATAATTCGGGAAGTTACGATCCGATATGCGACAATATCGAAAGGAACCAAGATCTTTAGGTTATAAACAAATTAGATTAAAATTGTGACTCATACAGGGTCCACAATCTTGATTTACCCTATTTTTACACTATTCGCGTACAAACGGCGGCCATATTGTCCGGCAATTTTGGTCCGATTTTCCCCAAATTCGAACTCAACCTTCCTTAGGGTGTAACGGGGATATATTAATACGTTTGTTTAAATCGGATGAAAATTATGACCTATATAGGGTCCACAAGCTAAAAACACGATTTTTCGTATAATCAGGAGCCATAATTAAGGAAGTTACGATCAGATATGCGACAATATCAAAAGGAACCAAGATCTTTAGGTTACAAACATGCATTTCAAGTTTCATCAAAATCGAATTAAAATTGTGACCCGTACAGGGTCCACAATCTTGATTTACCCTATTTTTTACACTATTCGTGTACAAACGGCGGCCATTTTGTGTGGCAATTTTGGTCCGATTTTCCCCAAATTCGAACTCAACCTTCCTTAGGGTGTAACGGTGATATAATTATACGGTTTTTTAAATCGGATAAAAATTATGATCTATATAAGGTTCACAAGCTAAAAACGCGATTTTTCGTATAATCAGGGGCCATAATTCAGGAAGTTACGATCCGATATGCGACAATATCGAAAGGAACCAAGATCTTTAGGTTATAAACATGCATTTCAAGTTTCTTCAAAATCAAATTAAAATTGTGACCCATACAGGGTCCACAATCTTGATTTACCATATTTTTACACTATTCGCGTACAAACGGTGGCCATTTTGTCCGGCAATTTTGGACCGATTTTCATGAAATTCGAACTCAACCTTCTTTAGTACGGTGATATAATAATACGGTTTTTTAAATCAGATAAAAATTATCTCCTCTATAGGGTCCACAAGCTAAAAATGCGATTTTTCGTACATTCAGGGGCCATAATTCAGGAAGTTACGGTACGATATGCACGAATATCGAAAGGAACTGAGATCTTTTGGTTATAAACTTACATGTCAAGTTTCAACAAAATCGGATAAAAATTGTGACCTCTATAGGGTCCACAAGCTAAAAACGTGATTTTTCGTACAAACAGGGGCCATAATCCATGAAGTTTCGATCCGATACATGCCAATATCAAAAGCAGCCTAGATCTTTTGGAGATAAACCTATATTTCAAGTTTCGTCAAAATTGGACAAGAATTGTGACCTGTAGAGAGTCCACAAACAAATTGTGGACGGACGGACGAACAGGGGCGACGACAATATACGTCCACATGAAAATGTGGGCGTATAAAAATCATGTTTTTAGCTTGTGAACACTGTAGAGGTCACAATGTTTATCCAATTTAGTTTAATCTTGAAATATATGATTATTACCCAAAATTCTCGTTTTCCTTTCGATATTCGCGCATATCGGAACTTAACTTCCTGAATTATGGCCCCTGATTGTACGAAAAATCTCGTTTTTAGCTTGTGGACCCTTTAGAGGTCATAATTTTTATCCGATTTAAAAAAACCTTTATTATTATATCACCGTTACACCCTAAAGACGGCTGAGTTCGAATTTCGTGAAAATCAGCCCAAAACTGACAGACAAAATGGCCGCCGTTCGTTCTCAAATAGCGTAAAAATATGGTATATCAAGGTTGTGGACCCTATAGAGGTCACAATTTTAATCCTATCTTGATGAAACTTGAAATGTAAGTTTATAACCCAACGATCTCAGTTCCTTTCGATATTCGCGCATATCGGAACGTAACTTCCTGAATTATGACCCCTGATTAGACGAAAAATCGCAATTTAGCTTGTGGAGCCGATAGAGGTCATAATTTTTATCCGATTTAAAAAAAAAGTATTGTTATATCATCGTTAGACCCTAAGGACGGCTAAGTTCAAATTTCGTGAAAATCGGCCCAAAACTGACAGACAAAATGGTCGCCCTTCGTTCTCAAATAGCGTAAAAATATGGTATATCAAGGTTGTGGACCCTATAGAGGTCCCAATTTTTATCCGATTTTGTTGAAACTTGACATGTAAGTTTATAACCCAAAGATCTCGGTACCTTTCGATATTCGCGCATATCGGACCGTAACTTCCTGAATTATGGCCCCTGATTGTACGAAAAATCACTTTCTTTTTAGCTTGTTCTCTATCCATCTCTGGAAAATGTGGGCGTATCCTGCCTGGCAGCCGCTGGTTAAACTGTTTACAAACATTTAACAATATTTATTTAATTCCAAAAATATATTATTTCTGTATTTCAAATTAATATTTTCAGGATGCATTAGAAAATCAACATAAAATAAAGGTTATGTTTGGTAATGGATTACGAAAAGATATATGGACCAAATTTCAGACGAGATTTAATATTCCTAAAATTGTTGAGTTTTTTGGAGCTACAGAAGGAACAAGTTTTACATTTCAATTATCAAATAAACCTGGTGCCATAGGGAGATATTCACCATTAATTGTAATTATTGTTGTATTTAACTATTGATATAAGATGGTTAATAGGGTGCTTTACTTCCTGGGACAAAGGTTAAAGTTGCGAAGGTAACCATTGTCATCATCTCGTAGTCCTTTTTGAATGAAATATTCAACATTTTTTGCAGTTTTTCATTGTTCATGTACTCACTATGTCCACGAGCCGATCAGTGGCTATGATATGGAATTTCTGCTTCTTGTGTTAAATCTAGCTATTTACATGTAGTATGTTTTAACTACTGGTACATAAAATTTGACAAAAATCTGACATATTCAAAATAATATCTGATTTCCTGATGTGTCAAGGGGCATAACTCTTTCTTACACTTTTTGTAAGAGATCTGTACTTCTTTTTCAGAAAAAATTAGATCCTTCACCTAAAAGAATTGTTAAATATGACTTTGCTACTGCAGAACCAATTAGAGATAAAAATGGCCGATGTATTGAGATAAAACCAGGTAGAATTTAAACTGTAAAATATCAGAACAATTAAAGAATGCTCACAAATTCTTCAGCTAGCATTGGCCCAATATTATCTTCTATCTGCTCCATCTAACTATGAAGTGCCTCATGCAAGAGTCAGAGTATCCTTACAAATGCTATTTTTAAAAGACATCGCAAAACAATATTGCTTTATTTTATTATTTAATTCTGTTACTCTTGGGGGGGGGAGGGGGCAGGGTCGAATGGTTAGCATGTGCGTCAGTTTCATAAGGTCTGTCATTCAGTCAACTGGCGTGGTTTCAATTTCCCAGTTGTACGTGACAAGGAGTAGGGTCATTGGTCCAACCTGGTGGGTTTTCTCTGGGTCCTCCATTTTTCCTAAAAACCCCTATGCACAAGCGAATTAATCAAATAAAATAGAACCATATGTTTGTCCCAAAATGACCTAGTTTGTGTCGAGTGGAGTTTAACCCCATTTCTCTCTCTCTCTTTCTCTTGTTCAATTCCATTACCTTTAGTGAATGTAGACTGTGTTCAATGTTGTCTATTTTAGAACACTTCACCCAGTATATAAACATAGCCTTGCATATATTTTTTTTTCAGATGAAAGTGGGTTAATATTAAGTATTATACCAGAAACAGTTAGAAGTTTGCCATTTTATAGAGCATCAGAAGAAGATAATAAAAAGAAAATAGTATTAAATGCTTTTGAAGAGGGTGATGCCTATTTTAATTATGGTGATTTATTTTATTTGGATAAAGATTATTTTCTTTATTTTCAAGATAGATTAGGGGATACTTTCAGGTAATTATTTGAAATATATTAACTAGAAGAAATTTAAAACACAGTATGGTAGAATGCTTTTAGATATCAGCTTTTTATCCAACCAAATCTTTAAGCTAAAAATAATTTTTAACTTTTACATCCAATGTTTTAAAGTAACATGAGTACCTCCTAAAAATAGAAACAAAAATATTCTGTTAACAAAACCGTGTCAGAAATATAAAGTTTTCTATCCAATGTTTTAAAGTTACATGTTGACTTACAATAGAGCACCTTTTAAACAATAGAAACCAACTTATTTTGTTAACAAAACCCCCCAGAAATATAAAAGTATTTATTTATAATAATTTATTGTCTACAGATGGGAAGTATTTTTTTTATGGTTATATATTGCCTACAGGTGGAAAGTATTTATTTATGATTATATATTGCCTACAGGTAGAAAGTATATATTTATGCATGTAACTATATATTGTCTACAGATGGAAAGTATTTATTTATGATTATATATATTGCCTACAGGTGGAAAGGAGAGAATGTATCTACAACTGAAGTAGCTAATATTTTAACCAATATAGATTTTATACAAGATGCTAATGTCTATGGTGTTAGTGTTCCAGGTTTGTTTGATTTTATTTAATTTTGATTGTTGACAGATTACAGAAAAGGTTTCAAAAATTTCTGGTTATTGAATCCAAGAAATAAAAAAGTGAAGTCAAATTTATCTGGTTTTAATTTGTGGGTTGAAATCCAAATTAGCACTCATAACGTACACAGTGTAATTTTACATGGGGGGGGGATATATTTAAACGGATTAACCCATGGTTGCCATTTAATGAATTAGTCTAGAACAACAAGTACTGTTGTTACGATAATAAACAATCTATGCCACATCTTGTCAAAACTTGAAATGGTGATAACTTCATTGAATAAAGTAATTTGAATGAAATTTTCAATATTCATTTTGCATTATCTATTCTTGAACTTTTCTAGCAAGAGGGGGGTTGGATGGATGAATGGTTAGCGTGTGCGCACTGTATCATAAAGTCTGTCATTGAGTCAACTGTCGTGGTTTCGATTCCCTGGTGTACATGACAAGGAGTAGGGTTGCCTGTCCAACTTCATGGGTTTTCTCCGGGTCCTCTGGTTCCCTCCCACTGCTAAATACCCCTACGTGCAAGCGAATTAGTGAAATAAAATTGAACCGTGTGTTAGTCCAAAAATGACCTAGTTTGTGTTGAGTGGACATTAAACCCCATTTCTCTCACTCTCTTGTAATTTTACATACACAATAAATTACATTTAAAAAACAGGTTTTTCACATTTTTTTTACAGTCTATATACTACTCTAGCACCTAAGACCTAAACTCTATTGGGACTGTTTTATACCTTTTACTTTTTCATTGACAACTTTGAGTTTTTATTACTATGATATATCATATTAATTATTTCAAAAAATCATCTCTAGATAACGTAGGTGTCCCTGTTACCTAAAATATATCATGTATCATTTCGATTACAGGTCATGATGGTCGTGCAGGAATGGCAGCATTAACCCTGACAGATATTCAGGAACTCAGTGAAGACAATTTAAAAACTATATATAACCATTGTGAAGAAGAACTACCACGATATGCCAGACCTATATTTTTACGTGTTCTAGAAGAAGCCGACTTAACCTCAACATTTAAACAGCGTAAAGTGGATTTAATAAAGGAGGAATATAATCCAACCGTTATTAAAGATCCACTTTATTTTAGGGACGATTCTAAACAGACATTTGTTCCACTCACTTTTCAACTGTTTACATCAGGGTTAGCCAAATCTAAATTGTAAAATGGACAAATTATTAGTGATATGATTAGGTTTACCTATGACAAATATTTTTAGTGAATTTATTGTTAATTTATATAAATTGTTATAAAATGTGATATTATTTGAGGCATCATGACAAATTAAATTTTATATTTTGTTTTACAAAATAAATCTTTATGTGTGGAAGTTTTGCAAAATAAAATCTTTATAAATTGTTGTTAAAGATGTGTGGTAAAAGGATTTTATTATGATTAAATATTTAATCCTCCATTGGGTAATAGTCCCTTATTTGGCGAAAGTTGGTGTATATTGTATTACCGGTAATGTCGAAATCATTATCATTTGGTCCATCAACAATGTAAGAATGTTGTAAATAAGAAAACCTGTTACATATTTACAGAATATAAGTTATTTGTCCTTGGATATTACAAACAGAATTTACTGTCAAGGTGGGAGAGGAACTTTAATTAAATAAAGTAGCTTTGTTCGCCAATGATGGGTTAAAGATAACACCGAGCAATAATTGCATATTTTTTTATTTAAAAAAATATTAATACACTATATGTATGTAAGAACAACTATTATACATTTAAAATTCAGAAAAAAATGGATCCATATTGTCTTAATAAATTAAGAGGCAATCATGTTGTTTCTGTGCTGTTTAAAACAATGTTCAGTCGCCATTGGCTATCCTTCAACCAATTTCTGTATTTTAGCCGTAGGTTCATCTAATGTTTTATCACAATTTTCAAGTAATACACAGTTGTTCTGGGTTGACATTGTACATATGGTATTTGAAGTTAAACTATTATTGACATCTATTTTCTTTGAAGTACAATTAATTAATGGAGTATCTGGTTGTGGATTTGACATATTACTGGTAATTAATGAACTATCACTGGTATTATTTTGTGATGAATTTGAGTCAAATTTTGCACAGTCATCATCTTCAATTTTGATGCCTTTTTTATCAAGAATTTGATCACTATGTGATTCTATTTTTGCTGCTATTGGTTCTTGTGATTTCTCCTGAGATTTATTTGCTGGTGCCGTAGCTTCTTTTTCTAATTTTATTTTAACATCTTTTTTAATGTCTCTCTTCTGATCTGCCATCAATGCTTCATCCACAATTATTTTTGGACATTTTTTCTCGGATTTAACTGTGTGAATCGATTTTAGATTTACGACCGGTTTTTCAAATTCAGGAATGATGATACTAAGTTTTTCACACAGACCACAAATTACTCTATCAATGTATGTGTTGATTTTTAGATCACATTTCTTATCATGTTTAGTAGTCTGTAAGTTAACAATGACCAACTTGCCACCATTTTTCCTGGCACTGAGTGGCAGGTTACCGCATGGTATGATTTGTAGAGATGTTCCCAGACACAGACTCAGATCTGCTTTCCTGTAAATAATACTTCATCTATTTAAATACGGTAAGTCAAGTATTCAATATTTAATGGACAAAATTTGTTTGGTGGAAACTGGACAGTTACATGTCCCTGGCTCAGATGGCGGTATATGTTGAGTAAGAAATATTACGCATGCCTTTTGGGTGACTTCAAGATTATTGCGACCTTTCGTCCCTTTCACATAACAGGGAGAGTGACCAAAAGGTTGTGACAAGGAGTATGGATGCTTGCCCCAGTTTGTGGGTTTTCTCTGGGTATTTCAGTTTTCTTTCATTTTTAAAAGACCCATGTGTGCATGTGAATTGTTGAAATAAAAAAACATTTTAGTCCTGATATGACCTAGTTATCTCTCTTCCCACTTCCCACATTTTGTGTGGCCTTTACCTTCCCCTTTCAGTTATCTTTCCACCCATATGATTTAAACACAGATCCTATTTCATTTTGTTTTTTATAGTTCAAAATTTCGTTCCACTAGGATCTGGAAGAGTTGTTATATAATCCACTTTCTGGATGATGTGAGGGATTAGCCTATGAAGCATGGAACTGTGGATAAACCACTAGAAACGTCAACACTGAGTGGTTAATCAATTATGTGACGTTATAGGGTCAAAAGCCACTCGTATGACACTTGAAGCGACCTTCCACTACATCTGGTCAGATCTTCATCGAAAGTATAAAAAAGCGAAACAAAATATAGATCTGTATTTTAATCCGATTGTCTTTCTGCCCAAGTTTTGTATAAATTATTTGGCAGTACTTACGCTGAATGTTTATCTGCTAAAGTTAAATCATGATCAGGTAGAGCATCTTCCCAATCTAATATAGCATCATGTAGATGACCCCTGAAACATACATGTAAACCATATATTAAAGATGCATTATGTAAGATTTTGATAAAGAGCTGACAGTTCTTGCTATAATAGTTAAAAATAGATGATGAAAGGGGAATATACAGAATATTTCAACCAAATTAAATCATTCTGAGTGAAACTATGGTCATTTGAAGAATAGTGTAGTCTTGATTGTCAATGATACCTTTATGATAATAAACAAAGTCTTGATTATCCATTTTTTAATTAAGATTCTTAACTGATGATCATGTTTAAATCCGTTGAAAATCACAACCAATCAAGAAAGTTGATTATGGGCTTGGCATGTGGATAAATGTCTAACTGATGATTTATATAATGTTTGAGGCCAAGCAAAATATCTGCTATAGGCAGATTTAGCTCTTACATAATGCATCTTTTAATAATATTAACAGACTAGTTATCTCCCATAAGAACAAATTAGTCACAAAAGCAGGCCCTGTATGGTTTTAATTAGAGAGCAGCATGTAATAATCCATGTTCCTGAACAGGGCCTATTTTAACGTGCCTACAGACACGGACGTGCCTCGAAATGAAAAATCCGTGCTTGGAGAATCTAAAATTCATGCTTTGAAAAGATGAATTCATGGTATGTGAATCTGAAAAATTTCATGAGGAAATTTAGCAAGTGTGTCATTAACAATCATTGTGATCATCAATCAATGCGTTTTGTTTCGATTCAATTTCGTGGATTGTATGTAAATGTCGAAAAATAAAGCTGTTGTTGACGCAAGTAGTCAGCTGCATGTTACAGTAAAGGTTCGTCTGCTTTTGGGCGTTTCTTTGGAATGCTAATGATACCGATACGCAGCTATAAATACAAATGTCAATAGTATGCAAATTTTAATTTAGGCCTCAATTTTTGACCGTTTTAGATGTTGAGGATCAAAATATCTTGGTTGAATTCGATTTTGGTGCATCTGCTTGGATTATTTCCTTACATACACAGAGTGTAACAAAATTTGTGAGCTTTATATTGTGATGAATTGAGAACACGGGAGCAAGAATCATGTCGATAATCAGCATTCCGCGACCTTCTGTTCCGGAGTTAAGCCCCCTCGAAAACCTTGTGGCAGCGACAGGGGCTTGCGTTTTAACCGTGTTTTATTTTTTCACATTTGATGTGAAGTATTTGGGGTCATGAGGCGACAAACCCCATCGAGTTACCAAACTTTGCCAAAAACCTAGGCATTGGGACAATGAGAGGTTGAGACCTATCGATTTTCCCTGTTCCCTATCCATATCTTACAGAATCTCGGCGTATCGTGTATGCCAACCGCTTGTTTTGTTATAGAAGTGTAAGCGTGGTACTTCTGGTGAGCCTTTGTTTTGGTCACAACTAATTGGTCACGATTTCAGAAGGTTTATTCCAACACATTAGAGCTAATAACGGTGATGAAGAAGCTAAATTGAGCTACCATGTTCTGTGTTGAAAATCGTGAGTCACATTTTGGAAATTTTGTTGGAACCCAAAGGGGGGAAACCCAATCAAAAAACTTCCATCTCCGGAAACCGTGCTTCGTCAATAAAACCTTAAAATAGCTAAGCCCTGTTCCTGAAGCAATGACTGCAAGTTTTACAACATCTGGACGTTGCTAGATTACTTCACAATTCTCAAACTTATAGCTACGTTATCTACAGACACGTGAACAGCAGCGTTCAATCAGAGGTTGTGACATAGTGATCCCCAAGGAAACTTTGACATTGAACGAACCTTGAACTTTGCAACTCGATTATCACAGGTCAACATTTTAGCTTCAAAGTGCGAGACTTGGTAATCACGACGATCGAGGAATCTGATAGGCTCACAAGCTGGACTTGTACCCAATCGAAATTAGTGCTGAAATATGCAGGGTATTACGTGAAGGCCTTGATAAGATGTACATAGTTAAAGCGAGATCAAGTCTTCTATGGAAGATGGTAATAATAAAGCTGTAATATCCCACTTTAAGTGATAGTTTGCTAAATATTAAATAAGTGTACGTACCTACATACACCTCTGGCTTTCTGTTGTCTACATTGTTCACCTGTTGGCTTTAAACCCATTGTAGGACTACATTTATTATTAATATACTGAAAACAAATACAATCTATTATTGTACAAGGCCTGGATGAAAAGTTCTAAGTCTATCTGTGAAAACCCTATACAAAGTCGATGGTTTCTATATATTTTTCTACATAGTCCCCTTCAAGGTGTCCATTTCCAGTGATTTCAGTGGATAAGTTCACAAGATGGTCTTGTACGAAGACAATAATAACACTACATTTGTTGTTCTTGTGTCTATGATTCATTCAATGATTGTACCCGCTGGTGGCAAAAGTTTGTTTCAACCCAATTGATCTATCATTTTCAGGCTTAGAACTTTTCAACCAGCCCTCGTACCAACAAGAATAATGAACAAATTTTAAATGGACCAATTTTACTGGTCAAAATGTATTTAATTGTAATATTCACAACCAGAATTTATGACATGTGCACATATCCAAAATTAATGGACATTGCTCATTTTGCCAGATTTCTTGATTGATTACAGAGAGAAAGTGTTCAGGGACAGTGGCTGTTACTAGCACAAAACTGATTTGCGAGTCTGATTTTCTGGATTTCAATGGGGTTCCTCTTCTTCACCAAGTTTGAAAAACATATCTCAAAAATTCTGACTAACAGAGTGTTTTCAAATTTTTAGTGACAGGTGCAGTAACTCTGGCATCGCCTTTTTGGGAGTTGTCCCTGGCTTTTTGCAACAGCCAATGAGTCTCTTAGCAGCATATTTTGTAATAGGCACATAGTGTAAAATTGATGATAGGCTTTGCACTCAGTTCCCGAAATCAACAGCATGATATCATAATATAACTTGGACTGTTTGGTTCTTATGAAAACTATATGATACTTACCTTGGTATGACATTTATCACAGGTTTGAACAAACATATTACCATGAGGTTCAGATAGACGATTTACTGGTAAACCTGATCGTACATGTAAACCATCAACATTTTGACTGATAACATACTTCACAATTCCTTTTACAAATAAATTACATTAAATAATCAGCAACAATTGACAACTATAATCATGTAAAATTGTTGTAAAATAGCATATTGGGATAGTCATGCACAAATGCATGCTGTCAACACACCATGAACCACGTGTGTTGGTGAAAGATGTTTCACTTATAAAAGAATGAATATCTTGAATCATGACATGTGTTGTTTTCTTTCTCACTCATTTATTTTAGTAACATCGAAATATATGTGAAATTTTTTTACATCATTGCCCTTAAAGCTATTTACATAACTGTGACCAGTTTATTCATGTGCCACCTCTAAAACATACAATCCCCGGTTGAACGTGGCAAGGAGTAGGGTCGTCTGTCCATCCTCGTGGGTTTACTCCGGTTTCCTCCCACTGCTAAAGACCCCTACGCGCAAGCAAATTATGTAAATAAAATTAAACCATATGTTAGTCCCGAAATGACCTAGTTTGTGTCGAGTGGACGTTAAACCCCATTTCTCTCTCTCTCTCTAAAACATACTACACCTATAAATAACCCCTGTCTGCGAACCAGAAAATCCTCCACATAATTGATATTCTATGGAATTTACCTCCCTTGGGCATCCTAAGTTCAATGAGTAATATTGAATTTCTGGGTAAAAAAAACACCTCAAGATCACCACAGACAATGCTGTAATGAAAATGATGTCATAAACCTGACAGATTTCAACATAATTATTGTAATACTAACCAGCATTTTCCAGTGCAACTAATGCCATATGAGTTTTAGTTGGTCTTGCAGATTCAAATGTTATATCAATTTTTGGAGTTTCTCCCTTTTCTTCAAGCGTCCATACTCCTACAAAGAAAAATAAAAGAATTGTGGAACTGTAACCAAGGCCTGGGTTATTGATGATCAATTACATAAAGTTCGCATAAATAATCTTACAAATTAGTTTTTATTATTTTTCATGTGGATTATACCATGTCTAAATTTGGCCAAGAACATTTGAAGAACTTATACATGCTACAGATTATTATCTAATTCATCCAATTATTCCACAGGAGGCCTGGGATAATGAATTTAGAGGCCTACCTGACAAATTGTCCGAGACTAATAATCAGTATATATGACATTTTAACATTGCGTTGGACCTTTAATAAATATCATTTAAAAAATAAAACAAGAAAAAAACAAATCTGGGTCTGACAAAAGGACAAGGCACCAGAGAGATTATGCCTGACAAAGGCTCAATTTGTGCCTGAAAATGTCTGCGACAGGTGCCTTATTTTCAGGCTTGCTACATCAATAGCTCCATCAGTAACTTGGGCACGACTTTGATGCATACATTTAAGTATATCTGTTTCATAACTTTTAGTTACTTTAGTAACAGTGTCTGATCGGACTCATCCTCTGATCAGACACTGTTACTAAAGTAACGCGTCCAATCAGACACCATTACAAAAGTAACTATACATATCTATATGGTTTAAGAAATCATGTCAAAAATGACATAGGCCTAATTTGTTACCTTTTGGTCCCCTAAAGTCTGGTATACCAGCAGATGTGCTAATACCAGCTCCTGTGTGTACCACAAGATGTTGACAAGCCTTCACCATGTCCACTAGTTGCTGTATTTTATTTTCTACTGTTTCATCATCATCAAATAGTTCTGGTAAACCACATTTACCTTTACTAGCATACTCTGATAACCCAGTTGCATAATTTACAGACATTCTAGCTGACCAATCTATCTCACTTGTGGAAAAAAAAAAGGTAAAATTGAAAAATATTTAAAATTAAACATTTCTTCAGAATAAATTCAATGTTAAAGTTAAAAGTTAAACCTTCCAATTTATCTACACTTTTGACCATATATCATATACACGAAATTGTAAGCATTATTATTCCTATGATGCCTTCATGACACCATGCCTTGTGAATTTGGTTCTTGCTTGATTATTTTGGTTTTTGAATGGTCCCTAGCCTATTCGTTATATTTTCATAATTTTGTGTTCTCTTGTAGAGTATATTTCTTTTAAAAATAAACCCTTTAAGCTTAATTCATGGTTTTGGGTTTAAATTTCATTCATCATGAAATCAACAAGATAGTTTACTTACCATGCAATTAAATACTATCAAATTACTATGATCAACATATCTCAAAATATGAACAAAGAACCAAAACAAATTATTGTTATTAACCGGAAGATCTACTTTCATTTAATCCCATTCTTTTAAACTTCATTACAAAAGAGTTCATAAAAATGTTCATTTACAGCCACCTCTTTACTTTTAAGAATAAAAACATCATTAAAACTACATAGCAAATTAGAAATAATGCATATATATATTATTTCCTATGTGATTTTAATGTTTTCAAATACTGATAAACCAAATTAGAAGCAACAAAACAGATTTATTGTCATGGGGAGATAACTGAAACGTTAAACAGAGTTCTTTCCCCTAAAGCACTACACCGAGGAAATAATCGAACAGAATTATGGAGTAAACTCGACAACTGGAACTTTTCTCCGCCCGTCGATTCGTTCATCCTTCCTTCCAGGTTTTTGTTTCTGGGGAATACCTCATAAATTATTGAATAAATTTCACGAATTTAATAATTTTTGTGTTGTCAAACATTGTGGCCTGGATCCTTCGGTTTCCCCTCACTAGACCTACTTTAGAACAAAGTCCCCTGCGCGCATAGGAATTATTGAAATTCTACATCTTTCTGTCACCAACAGTCCTATTTAACGGTGTCATAAATGAAATCAAATATGGTTTAACGTGCTACTGTTTTGCACCAACGGTCGGGGAGCCACGGTGGCTAGGTGGTTAAGGCGCTGGCTCGCTAGCCTGGAGGTCGGGTGTTCGATCCCTGCATTGGCCGAAAAAGTTCATCCTTTCTAGCTCTACACAACTGCGTACACGAGACCATTTCCTCAGTTATTGTTTGTTTCTACCATTCTCATATAGCCCACCAAGTATTAAAATAGCTTTATTTGGGGTTCACGATGATAGGGCCTACCATTCACAAATACACCCTGTGTATCCCAATGTATTGCTTTTCAATTATAAGGCTATTTTTTCAATTTACTCCCATTTGATAAATGTTGTTTAATTTGTCCTTTTCCGTATAATGCTACGTGTACAGGTCTGAACGGGAAAGGCGGTGGTGGTGGTGGTGGGGGGGGGGGGGGACAAAGCAAATCAAAATCAAACCGCACTACTGGGCAATTATAATAGAAAAGGCTATAGATATCATGACCACCCTGCTACTTGTTTTGCTACAGTACGGCAAATTTGGCAGAATCGCCCTGAAATCTATTTTTGGCCAATATTGCTGTCTACAATACACAGTTCGGGAGATGAAGTCCTTCCAGATTCCCATGTAATGCGCATGTCGTATTGTTAGTGTACCTACATGTGTAAGTATATCTCGCTAGCCTGGAGGTCGGGTGTTCGATCCCTGCATTTGCCGAGAAAGTTCATCCAGATTTTCCGGCGTGGTTTCCCCTTGTCAGTGATGCAGGACGGAGGGCCTGACAAGGACAGCTGTCTAGTCGTTCGGATGGGACGAAAAACCGAGGTCCCGTGTACAAATTGGCGTGCACATAAAAGATCCCCTAACAGTTGGAATTCGATATAAGAGTAGGCCGTAGCGCCGCTGCCCGGGCAAAATTGCCCTCATAGCACACTGTATGGCGCATGCCCGTCTTCATTAGCCCAGTTTAGGAGCAAAACAGTAGGACGTTAAACCCCATTTCATTTCATTTTGTAAGTATATTAAAGGGATAGGAAAAATAAAGAGAGAGATAGAGGGAAATGGGGTTTAACGTCCACTCGACACAAAGTAGGTCATTTCGAGACTAACACATGGTTCAATTTTATTTCCACAAATCGCTTGCGCGTAGGGGTCTTTAGCAGTTGGAGGAAACTGGAGAAAACCCACGAGGTTGGACAGGCGACCCTATTCCTTGTCACGTACAACCGGGGAATCGAAACAACGCTAGTTGACTTAAATACAGACCTTATGATACAGCACTGCTAACCATTCGGACGGCCCCCCCCCCCCCAACTCCAACCCCTTGAAAAAATACAGTCATGGAAAGACTTGCACACTGAGTGATATAAGTGTCGCACTGGACACTGTCCGCTTTTCCCGAGTATGTTGAAGGAGCTAAATCGCTATTCTCTGGCACCTAGAAATGGACAAAATTGGGTAACGACGCATAAAATAATGTAATAATAATGTAATATATGAATGTATATACACTAATTTACATTCAACCTCTTCTCATTTTTCCATAATTTCTAATCAGTTATGTTCGGCGAAATACACGAAGAGTCCGAATTGAATGGCAGTCTTTGGTATCTGGTTTTTCCAGTCTACACCGGTAGTATTCTCCTACATGGGATATGTTTAGCCTCGTTCATTCTGGCACACGTTTCATGTGTCAATTTTAATTTTTTTTATTTTTTCTGTAATATTGGATATCAGAAGTCCAACGTTTCACGGTAAGATAACAACGTCAATATTGATTTAAATTGACCAATAAATCGTGTTTGCAATGTCGAAGACTGTGGATGATATTGAGTTAAAGACTTGGCTCCTTGTAGGACAGAATAAAATATAGAAAAAATATAAGTTTATTTTTATTAACGGTCTATAATAACGTGTTTAATTGCGTCAAAGACAGTAATAACATGTTTAATTTTGTCAAAGAGAATAATAACGTGTTTAATTGCGTCAAAGTCAATAATAACGTGTTTAATTGCGTCAAAGTCAATAATAACATGTTTAATTGCGTCAAAGACAATAATAACGTGTTTAATTTCGTCACAGACAATAATAGCGTGTTTAATTGAGTTGAAGGCAATAATAGCGTGTTTAATTGCATAGACAGTTCAAACAGAATGGTACACTAACGATATAAATATAATTGCCTATGTATAGATAGGCCAATAAAATAGTAGTATTACTGAAATGTAATAAATATACCCCAAATGCCAAAACGAAAAAAAACACAAATAATTTATTTTTATTAAATCAACAAATATAAATAAGAGAATATTGATTTGAAAGGTAAATATAATTCTAATTGAAATACAGTTTATGAAGGCAGCTATTTATATAGACACAGCTAATGACATCACATCCCTGGTGTTCATTTTCCTGATCCCGACAATTACATTTAGTGTAAAATCAATAAGGAAAGCGACTCTTTTGACCTTTTTTTTCTGATAATACGTTTAAAACTAAACCGGCATTTAAAATTTATCTGGAAGTATAGACATATTTTTGGGAAAAGTTACTATTCGGAATTCCGAAATATACACATATTTAATGTTAATCTTATATACATGTACATAATTGTACGTTAGAAAAATATTGACATCTGTTGAAGAAATTATAATTAAAATATAAAAATATGTTTTTCTAAATGGTGTCGTTGATTTTTGTGATATCAAGAGAAATAGTAATTAGAATAAGCCAACTTCCTGTGAGTTTTGTGTTAGTCAAGTGAATGAAGCGGTAAAACTCATCACCATTGTCTTCAAAAATATGAGAAGAAATCAGAGTTATAAAATACTGCAAGGTTTAGATGTCTTTTTGGTAGAACCACTAAGTGGTCGTACTGGTTTAGGTTTGCGTGGTGACCCCGTATATGCTGGTGAAACGGACGGCGATTCTGACCCACTCTTGTCTGGACTTGATTCTTTTGATACTTTGGGATATTGTGTTGATTGGTCAGCTGGTGCTGCTGCTTGATGAGCAACCGGCTGTAGATTATCGATTGGGCGGACAGTTTTCGTACCGGGCGTAGCACTTTTAACATAACTAGTTTTCTTCGCAGGCGTGTCGTCGGCTGGTTTTGTCGGTTTGCCTTCGGGTTCAGGTTGTTTTTTCTCTGGCATAACTTTTGTTTCATTCTGTTTAATTTCACTTTTAGGTTCCGATTTACTTTTTGGTTTTGATTCTGGAACATAATCCACAGCGACCTGGTCGGGATCTGGTAAAATTTGTCTTATTTTTGCTCTCATCTCCTCAAATTTAGGACCACTCCATTTCTCTTGTACTACAGGTTCCGAATGAAAATCAATGTATAGAAGTTCTGTGAAAGCCATGCTCATTGGTCCTCTTGGTGGCCACGTCGTGTTTTCAAGCAGAAGAGGTATAATTGGTCGCTTCAACGCATCACATAAGCTGACCTCTCTGCGACAGTTTGCTGAAAGGGCGTATTTTTCTGTAATGCAGGATAACACAACTCTACACCCTCTTATACCACGATCGATTTTATCATAAAGAGAATCCCCACCACCCATCTGATGAATATCCATCCAACAATGATAACCTAGTTCTGTTAAACGTCTATACAATAACATAATGTTTTTTTGTTTATCCCACTGATACGATATAAACACTTCTGGTGACTTCTCGTCCTGACAAAGATAAAAACAAAGCAGTGGTAATTCCTCTGAAATGTTATAGCGGAAATATTTACCATATAATTTAAACCTTTTTAGATTATATGTAATAAAAACAGACCTCCTGGATACGACATGGAAAGCTTGTGATCGACAAACTCGGTTGGTACCCACAAAGGCATATGCTAACTAGATATTACTGGTATCGCTATATTCGTTGCAGGTATCTACTGATGTTCCATAGATCATTTCCAACAGTTTAGCGTCAGAAAGTATTTATAAATTTGATTTAAAGTATGATCAACAGTACCATTTTGAAATCAAGATTGCAATTGACCCATTGTTGGTCCTTTAGTCTTTATCTATCAAACGAAAAACTTTATGGTTGACAGTATTACCAACATTGTGAAGCTTTTGGGCAACATATCTAATGATATGACTATAAAATTTATTCTCACCTTTTTATCACCTGTAGTTGTTTGTGGTTGTGTTTTATTTTTACCACCACCCGCTGTGTTGGATTTATCAATCTTTATCTCTTCGACTAAAGGCATCCACCAATTTTTATACACTACAAAGAAATAGTTAAAAATGTAGACTAAATACAGAACTATAAAGCGTACCGAGAAATACCCATACTTTCTGTTCGTTTACGATTAGTATACAGATGTCTGATGCTTATTCTACTAGAATTAAAAAACCGTAAAATATTATTGGCCAACCCACGAATCCGTAAAACACCCAGCGCACAAGCACAAATATAAAACAGCTGCAAATGCTTTAAATGCGTCTTCGTTTTATTTTATGTTCAGGTAATTGAACTATTTGTGGCTTTAAAAATGTTCCCTAGATTCAATCACAGAAACTACTTTTATTAAACATCTTACTGTTCTCGACTTTAGATTCATCTGGAACTATTCCATTCATACTCAGCTGCATCAACAGTTCTTGGAACTTTGGTATTGGCCAGTATCTGTCGTCGGGTGTAGCTTCTTTTGTGTCTCTTTGAAAAAACTGTATATAAAGATATTCACTGAATATAGGCCCCATAGAGCCAGGTGGGGGCCACGCACAGTTCTCTAACAACAGTGGTATAATGGGTTTCCTCAAATTCACTGCTAAATTCACCTAAAATGAAAGAAAAAGAAGACACATTAGTGATTAATTGGATTTTTTAAAAATCAAATTATATTTGTATCTGTGGACACCATAATTTTTTCAGTGCTACTGCATAAGGCCTCTGAAGGTCATAATCCGGCTTTGATTAAAAAGTCACTTAATTGTCAATTCTCGGAATTGAATTTGTGGAATTTCTGAATATGTTATGCAGTACTTAAGCTAAGGGAAAACTTTCACACTCAGATGGTACCTAACCCTGCAGCTAATCCGATTCAGGTACTAATTACTTCTAGTTTTGATGTCGAAAAATGTACATACCTCTCTGTTACAATTTGGTGACTTGGCGTATTTTTCTGTCGTACAGCTGATAATGACCTTGGCTGCTCTGATACCCGTATCTATCTTTTCAAAGAGTTTATCACCTCCTCCCATCTGTCCTATATCCATCCAGCATTCATAGCCAGCCATTTCTAGATGTTTCCGTAACAACTTGACCTCTTCTTGGTGACTCCATTGGTAACTTAGGAAAATCGGTGGAGGCGTGGCATATTCAAACTCTTCCTCTTCCACCACTTGCTCTGTACAATACAATGTGGCATATTCATTATTTCATCTCGAATATTTGTTTTCAGGAAATGTCTGGCATAATCGATACAAATAAATAGTTTTCTGAAGAGCAGGCAGGGCGTTTAAGATATATTCTGAAGACTAATCATTGGGTATCCACTATTATGTATGGAAACAACTATGTGCAAACTGATTTTTTTACTGATTAGCGTAAAAGATAAAAACCTCAAAAGAATCATAAAAATGCACCTTTTCAGCTAGAACTAGACTTTTCTGCTAGATAGAGCATGCTGGGACCGGACATTAAACCCCACTAACGAAGCTACTGATTAGCGTAAAAGATAAAAACCTCAAAAGAATCATAAAAATGCACCTTTTCAGCTAGAACTAGACTTTTCTGCTAGATAGAGCATGCTGGGACCGGACATTAAACCCCACTAACGAACGGAACGAGCGCCAGGATTATGAAATCAATAGTTATTATGGATCCTGGCTTACAATTTCAAAATCGTCTTACCGGCTGCCTTCATAGCATTCTCCACTATAATAGCTGCATCCATTCTGTCCATTTCCTGTAAAGCTATCAACACACCATATGATGCTTCACTTGTTTTATGGGTAGCATACCATTCATTCAACATGGCCATGCACGGATCAGACTGCTGGGCCCAAGCGCGGATATCGTCATTGCTATACCCTAGTCTACTAGACAATAGTCGCCAATCACAATCCGCCTGAGGATTCATCAGTTTGGATACATCCCGAGACCAGTATGGAGCGTGACTTAACGTCTGAAAAGTATTAAACCCAAATTTACATACTAAATTATAGAAAAGTACATGGCATATATTAAACAATACAATATTTGTTCCTCCCCCAAAACCGAAATTGTGTAATAAAATTTAGATATATCACTGCCTGAAAATTTTGGTACTAATACTGGAGATGTTGAATACTGTTGAAGAATCCTGAAGGCACTGTCGCTACCTCTGAAGATAATAATGATTGAATGTTTTTGGTATATCTCTGAGTATGATAATGCAGTTTGATGCCAACATGGTCATGTAAATACCTTTTGATCGATTTCTTCCACTTTTAGAACCGTTTCCTCAACAACCTCGCCCAGCACGTTTATTCTTTGTCCCTGTTCATTGACCTCATATTTAATACCAATAATATCTTCCTTCTGTTTTCCCACCTCCTCTGTTACAGTGTTGATAGTAATCTCGTTAGTTGTAACACGTGTATCAAGATTCTCTATATCATCCTGTTGTTGATCAATACCCACAGCTAATGTCTCGAGACTAGAATGGAATGAAAGTTAATGTTTATAAGCGGTTATGATGTTCATTGTGCAGTTCCAATACTACAACATTTCATACTTTTACCGCACTAACACAGCAAATAGAAAGGGTGTTTGTGGGAGATAGTATTGTATTAAGCTAAGACTGATACTTCTCTAGTTTTCTCTATGGTAACTGACACCTTATAATACGTTAGTTTCATAATATCTTACGGCCATTCATTTATATGGACCGTTGTATCTTATTTCAATGGGGAGGGGGGGGGGGGGGCAACGGTTAGTATGTTTGACTCACCAAACATGAGGGTTCAGGATTTTCCTTTCTTGTGCCCCCTTCTCAGCGGCGCAGGTGCATGACAGGAGGAAATACCCAGGTTGCCCCCCTGTATGCCCCTTTGGTGTGCATGTAATTTTAAGCGAAAACACCGCTTTCGGACAAAGTGTCCTCCATCATTCATATCTTATTAGATCTTTTTAAAACAGTTAACCCACCTTCTGCCTTCTAATAAATCTATCAGACCAGAAGCTGTATCACGTATATTTTGATTGGATGTCCTCTCTTTTAGGTCTACTATTAACTGTTTATGCTTATTTACAAGAGGCTTATGTGTTGCTACCAATCCTCGCAATTCACTGATTAATAACATAGTGTTAGTCTCATGTTCTGGACCTGATAAAACTTTTATAAACCGGTTCACAATACGCTCAGCAGTTTTCTGAATAATAAATAATTGATTTAGTTCACCTAGAAATATCACAAAATAAATGGATCCTAATTATATTTCTCCCCACAAAAAACCCCCCAATAATATCAAAAAGTGATTGCTCAATTAGGATTTATTTCTAAAAATTTAGCCTCGGTTTGCCTGCATCTTTGTTTAAGGATGAAGTATCAGGATAATACAGAATGTTTAACATTACTGGTTACAACTTATTCTTTTCCTTAACGTTATCATTTAAAATCACCCGTCTGAGCTGTCTTAGCTGTTCTAACCGTATAAACGACATTGTTTGTGGCATCAACAAGCCCAATTGATAGATCGCGGCCCATGCCATCAACGTTGGAGCAATCATTTAAGGAAACTGATATAAAATAAAAGTTCTAACCTCATCGCTTTTAACAGCTATCTTACGTAATATGGAGTGTAAATGGTAAAACGTATATTCGCTGTATTCTTTATTCATTAAGTCATCTAATATGTGGTAAATAATTTTTGTATTTTTCTCGACCAGTAAATCAATGACCATTATATAGGAGAGCTGTTCATTAGGATCACCCTCAAACATAACTTCCATCAATGTATCCACGTTTTCTTTGGTAAAAAGCTGCAAATTGATCAAATTACAACGGTGAAACATAAATTGTTGGCCATATTAACTAATATCTGCAACTTGGTGTCATGTGACGGAGTAAATTGTGCACGACATCCACCAATACTTATGATTTAATTAGAAAAATGGAACATGTTGATATTATTGTTGTAATGCAAAAGAAAACCAACCACCGTCCCCACAGTGGTATCGGAGAGATAGAATTAAAACGGAATATCTGTAGGTACAAAGACATCGTCCTGGTGACACTAACCACGTCATTTCTAGACTAACATGATATTTCCATTATAATAAGTTACGTTTTTCACAATTGGGAGTCAACCGGAGTACTGGGTGAAAACCCACGAGGCAGGTCAATCTACTGCTTGTTATTTACAACCCCGGACCCAATTCATGGTTTGCAAAAACAACATAGTTTATAGTCTACAGCGCCCACGTTAGATCCTTCTGCCACCCCATCCCTAAATCTAAAAAAAGCAAATATGACTTACCTTTGGTTGATGGCCAGCTACTTTAGTTAAGAGTTGTAAACAATAAGATCTGATGGCGGAGTCACCAGATTCTATGGATGCGAAAAGTTCCTGGAAACGATCTGCTACGGCTGTATCGTTTTGTGGATAAACCTGTTGTATTACACCTGGAATCAAAATCATGAATAATTTTACTAAAATGATTTGAAATGAGGTTTTAAAATCGTAGTTATCTACACCTACTAATACGCTATGAGGAAAATTTTGTCCAAACAGTCGCGTCCATACCCGCTCTTCGTTGGATTCCAATTGTCACTGGTGGTCCTCGGTTGTTCATCCGATCCGAACGACTCATTTAATTGTTAGGCCCCCAGAAAAAAACAAATACCCATCTATTTATCTTTATAACAACAAAATCAATTATAACTTAAATGTCCGATTTGGATGCAGTGAACTAAGTCGATCAAGATTACTTTTGACGGCTATACTTTTGTCTGATTTCCCTGTTTTTCTGTCTACCTGGTTCCTATGGCTGGTAATATGATATCGCATATTAGATAAACTAGTAGAAATCGACTTACTTAACAGATTATAAGTCTCTTTATCCAGGTAAAGATCTATAATTTGAGGTAGATGTGCTGCTAGACAGTCAGCTCCACCTTTACCCTGTCCAACAATAAAGATCTGAGTAGAAGCCATATCCGCAACACTATCTTCATCATGTCCAATCAGTTCTAGAACTTTAGCTAGAATATTCTTAGCTTTACTCACATCACCGGAATCTGACAGCTGAGGATAAAATAAAAAGGAGAAAGTAGGGTTAGTGATTTGTTAAAATGGGGTATAAGTATAGTTTATCTTCCGGTGGTATAAAAGACAATTCCTACAAGAAAAGCGAAAGTGTGCCCAGTTGAGCCATTTCAGGGATACATTTATGTGTAAAGAAAATCTTTGTTGGTAGATACATTTAAAAAGTTGCTTGTCGGTAATGAAATTATGGTATATTGTTTACTCAAAGATCTTTATTAGTAATGGTAAATTTGAAATAGAAATGCGGAATAGAATTGTACCCTAAATGATCCCCTCATTTTAATAAGCAACACATTTAGGATTTAACTAAATGACCACTCGATGTAATTCTAAGATAAACAAATCTAACCGCAGGTAGAAATAGACCCTAATCTAAACCCATGATATTTGAAAGTGACGGCCCTTTCATTGGCTGCGGGATAAAATACTAATAATAATTAGTCAATTAAAAGGTTGCGTTCTTAAAATACTTTTGTTTAAGTTCTCGTGAATAAGGCACCCGTTCTTACCAGTTTAAATGTTTTAAATACAGCAACTACATATATTCTGTAATATTCGGTTCCTGGAATGTTCCCATCGGGTATTATAAAATCACCAGATAAACTAGCATCACATAGATCAACCAAAACATCAAAATCTTCGGATGTCAGACTTTTACAATCACTGAAACAATGTCAATCAAAATTATATGAACCCGGCCATACTAAACAGCGATGGCAGCGATCATATTAACATCTTCCCAGCGTAAGTTCTCCTCAGATATCTCACATTCGAACCAACTCAGTTATTACCACCAGCTGCTTCTCCTGGATATCCATGTTGAAGTACATTTGTTTTGGACACGAATAAAGTCAGGATGTTGTGACATGCATACAATCTTAACCTATATTTGCTTCGGAAATTTACTTACGTTATGGACTCCAGGGCATTGCATGCTAATTCTTGAAGAGCACAGCATCTTCTGATATTCCATTCTGATTCATCTCTTAATAGCTTAGTGACGCCACGGATAGCTTCCATCGCTATCTCTCGATGTTTCTAAAAACAGTATCAGGTTAGATATTCAAGGAAACCACCACTGACCACATCTCAATTTGAGTTGATGATATTTACCCTAACCCAGGTCAGTTATTGACCCATAGTTTTGGGTTATAATTCAATAAGGTTAATAAAAAAGTTATTTTAGCTCAAAATTCATGAAGCTTATCCATAGAGTTAAAATGACCGTTAGCATTGTATTTGCTTCAATTTTTTTTAAAGGATGTAAGTTTAAGGTCTCTATAATGTTTTCAAATGAACAAACCATACTAATCCTTATAAGACATATAGAGGTAGATTTCACAAATTAAAAACACTTATATGGATATACTACTTCTGAATTTATTAACATGCTACGTTTCGATACACATACAGATATCGTTATCAAGCAAATAATGATATATAAATTAAATCAATACACTGGAGTAGATTAAGTATAATTTGTTGTTTAATTAAACTTAATTATAAATCTGACTTTAACATATTAATTAAAGACACTTATATGGGTATACTACTTCTGAATTTATTAACATGCTACGTTTCGATACACATACAGTTATCGTTATCAAGCAAATTTGCTTGATAACGATATCTGTATGTGTATCGTTATAATTTGCTTGATAACGATATCTGTGTGTGTATCGAAACGTAGCATGTTAATAAATTCAGAAGTAGTATATCCATATAAGTGTTTTTAATTAATAAACCATACTAACTTTAAACACTAAGCCATCGAAGTAATCTGCTGCCACTTCTGCTAGTCTGTAAAATTCTTCATTTTTATCTTCCAGTATTTTCAGGGAATAGTGAAGTAATTCTTCAAGCAGATCCGGTATCAGTTTAGCTTTTCTAAAATTATTGTTGAAACTGTATATATATATATATTTTTGAAAACAGAAAATACATCAAATCTTGTATTCTTTACAAGTTCTTCCAGTTTGCTATAATATAAATTTTACACTTGGCAAAATGTTTCCACAACCAAGAGATCTAGTCGGGATTAAGCAAAATCTTGAAAACTGAAATGGAGGAGTTATTGACTTTCGTTGTTTGAAGACACTCGTCACACAATATCGATGGCTTAGTTCCACAGTGTAGAGTCGCCGAGCGGGACAAAGTGGAGATAACTCGACGGCAAAGAATCTGTCTAAAACACTTTTTTAAAAAACCGACGGAAGCAGAAGTTGATCCTTTATAAGAATTTAATAATACCGTAGTATATTTACTCACTTGACTTGTTCTAAGAAATATTTGAGGAAGTTTTCATAATATCCAATTGTTGATTCTCTCTTTTTTTCCGCTTCATAAGTTATCTTATTTACTTTAGAAAAACACTGAAACAGGTTTTTAGCTTCTGAAGGGTAATTCTGCAAAACACAAGAGAGTATATATTTAAATGTTCTTTTAATAGATGAAAAAAGAAATCACGGACAGCCAATTTTATTCATTCGGCAAACTCCGCCAATCACAAAAAAGTAGGTGTGATCGAGAATGGTACAGCTATTTTGAAACTGATAATCGTTATCTTAAAATTTCTGATTTTACCTTCCATTTTAAGAATTTTTCTTGTTCTCTAACAGCATAATACATAGCTTCAGCACATCCCTGTATGTGTATACCACTAGTAACTATTCTTATCCATAACGCAGCATGTTCTTTAGAGCTACAATTATAATTAAGCGCAAAACATGGTAGTGTACATTAGTGCAATAAAAAACGAATATAATGTTAACGACCAACGAGATTCAACTCTTATTCCTTCCAGCAAGAAGTGTTCCTAGCATCAAATCTTTTTCGCCTTATCCAATATAATTACAACCATTTAACGGTGTTTCTTCTTTATGAAATGAAATGGAGTTTAACATCCTACTGTTCTGCTCCGACTAGGCTAATGAGGATGGGCATCTACCATACAGTGTGCTATAAGGAAAATTTTGTCAGGACAGCCGCGCTATGGTCTACTCTTATATCGAATTCTAACTGCCAAGGGAGTTTTTACGTGCACATCCGAACGACTAGACAGCTGTCCTTGTCAGGCACTTCGTCCTGCACCACTGACAAGGGGAAACCACGCTGGAAAAACCGGATGAAACTTCTCGGCCAACACCTGCTAGCGAGCTAGCGTCTAACTCACTTAGCCACCGTGACACCTTTACCCTTTATAGTAATTAAGGATAGGTTGGATAGCGTATATATTCAGTAATTCCAGGATGTACATTAAGAACTTACTTATTCATTGCAGGACCAAGAATATTGTAAAGGGCAGGTTTTATAAGACGGAGTTCACAGATACTGTAGTCGCTCAGATTCTCTAATAACTTTGCAATTTTAGGTGCCATTCCATCAAAGATTACAGTTTTGTTCTGAAATATATTTTACAGAATAAGACATTCTAACAATTGATGGACTAAACGGTACCAGGGCCAGATAATTATACTAATGTCCAAAAGAAAGTATACACACTAAAAATATGACTAAGTTTTGTTTAAATTAAAAAAAAATGTGATAAAACTACACTGAACATGTCTCGTGCGTCCAAACTCAATATTTCTAAGCAAATAAAAGGCAAAACAAATGGATATTGTACCCAAATACCGCATACAATGGAAAGACGACTTTGTTTGAAGCAGGACAAAATGCACAGTGTATACTTTCTTTTGGACATTAGTATATTTTGTGCATTGAATCTCATATAGATGTTTAAACCTAACCCCTAATGAACAGGGATTACTGGGGAGAACATTTGTAATAGAAAGTGTGGTATGGAAGTGGGTATGATGACGGGGTGGTAATCGTTCCATTTTTACATGCAGATACAAAACTGCGATGGTTGCCCATGAGATGTGAATAGCAAACGAACACGGCACATAGCCTTACCTAAAGTGACAGACCCAGTGTAGAAACAAGTTGCAGCATGAACATTGCAAATCGTCAGTTATTCAAGACAGAATCAGTATATGTACACTGAATAACACACGCCATTACTTACATGTACAGGCCCATAACTAAGGGGGGGGGGGGGCGAAAGGAGAACGAAGACCCCTCCCCCCCCCCCCTGCAAAACGTTTGCCCCCCTCCCCCCACTGTGAAACAAACTGTTGACCATTAACAAAATAGATATACATTGTCCGTCAATTTTACAGCACCCCTGAGATAATTCGCGTCCCTCTCGTTGCTCTGAGCTAGTTACGGCCTTGTACATGTAGTTAAAATGTTTTGTTTTTTAAAATAAATTGTATTGCATCAGAATACTAAAGAATCGGCTACAAGTTTCGACAAATGTGCTAAATGAAAACCTATCTAGGATCGATAGTTTGGACTTGGACTCGGACCAATATCACCATCAGTATTAATATCACACAAACCTTGACGATATCTTCCTTGGTATGGAACCATAGATAACCAATACTCTCTATAAACTCATGTGGTGGTAAACCAGTGGTTTTATTACACATAGTTAAAACAAAGTCAACTAAATCTATATATAAATCAGGAAATAGTTTTTCTTCTCTGAAACAGATCATAGCATTATAAATATATAGCAAGTTATATCGAAACAGGGGTGGGGGTGGGGGCAAACGGTTACCATAAGGTCTGTCATTGAGTCAACTGGCGTGGTTTCGAATCCACGGTTGTACGTGACAAGGACTAGGGTCGTCTGTCCAACCTTGTGGGTTTTCTCCGGGTCCACTCGACACAGACTAGGTCATTTCGGGACTAACACATGGTTCAATTTTATTTCAATAATTCGCTTGCGCGTAGGGGTCTTTAGCAGTGGGAGGAAATCGGAAGACCCGGAGAAAACCCACGAGGTTGGATAGGCCACCCAACACCTTGTCACGTACAACCGGGAAATCGAAAGGGCTGAAAAGATGATTTAAAAGCAGATGTTAGGGTAATAGGCGGACTGTCGAATTTTTATTTCCATGTATCAGCTGTAATTGGATAACCGCTAGTACAGGGTGGACAAACTATACGGTAATTTACCCATGGGGAAAAGGATAAGAAAATCAGAGTTTCAAATTTAAGCACCCAGAATAGACGAAATACTTAAAATTGCATTAATTTATATTTATAAATATGTAATAACTTACTCTATACCATTGAGTATATATTTGAGATTAGAAACCAATTCTTTGACCCTCTTCTCATCATTAGGCACATCTTTATCGTGTAAACAGTCAGATATAAGTTTCAAATATTTACGATATATTTCAGGATTTGTGATCCTCTGAAAAATCAATTTAAAAAGACAATTAAATTATAATGTACAGTATTTAATATCGATAACAATAAATCCAATGGTCTGGATTTGTTTTTCTTAAATTGTCGGTCTGTGCAACACTTTTCCCCTTATACAAGTAATAATGTACAGTATTTGATATGGATAACAATCAATCCAAAGGTCTGGATTTGTGTTTCTTAAATTATCGGTCTGTTCAACACTTTTCCCCTTATACCCCCCCCCCCCCCAGCCCACCTTACCAAGGTCAGTCCATGAAACTTCAGTGGTTCAGAGACTTCACTCGTCATTATCATGAACTTTGGTCTGCATGCTGTACTTATGATTATCGAATCTCTTTTGACTTTGAGAGCAACAACGGACACGGGTCTGTACGAGGCTTTTCCGTGGTATGTTCTAGCGTTTATCTATATACTATTGGCATTTTCAACAGTATGAACTAGCGTTTAGCTACACTATTGACATTTTCAACACTAAGGTCTAGCGTTTATCTATAATATTGTCATTTTCAACAGATTGATCTAGCGGTTATCTTATAATATTGGCATTTCTAACTGTATGATATACCTTTTATCTATATTATTGGCATTTTTAACAGTAGGATCCAGCTTAATACTGGAAAAAAAAATAAATAAATAAATAATTCAGTACCTTAAAAGGCGTTCTTCCAAATTTATACCAGATTTTCATGGCTAGTGAATGAGTCATATTGTATATTGGTTCATCCGACTTCAGGAAATTCGTTAAATAAAACATAAATAAGTCAAGGAAATCCTCATGGTTTGATTTCATCATTTCCTCACTACAAATATATTATTAAAAAATACAAACACCACTGAACATCTGGTACCACTTTCTGTTGTGTACTTTTTTCATGGATAAGTATACTTGCCGTCTTTCTTACCGAATCTATCGATCGATTTTTATTCAAGAAAGTATTTAATTCAATTACAAAGCTATATTCAGACCTCCTGCTCCGCTTTCCTCTCCCGATATGTGTTCGGGAACGGGAGACCACTTTGACCTGATAAAATTGGCGAGCTATGATGGCTAAGTGAGTAAGACACTGGCTTGCCAGCCCTGAGGTCGCGGGTTCGCTCCCGGTGTTGACCGAGAAAGTTCATCGTGATTTTCCGGCGTGGTTTTCCCTTGTCAGTGGTGCAGGGCGGGGGCCTAGTCGTTCGGATGGGACAAACAACCGAGGTCCCGTGTACACACTGTATAGCGTATGCCCGTCTTCATTAGCCCAGTCGGAGCAGAACAGTAGGACGTTAAACCCCAATACATTTCATTTCTGATAAAATGGTTGTTGTTTTTTTCTTTTGACAATGCCTGTTGTTTAACATTAACAGTAGAAGGTGTTTCTTAACGCAAGGCATTTTCGACCATATGGTCACAATGTGGTTATTCAGTGATGTGGTTTACACCAGCCTATGTGCCAGAGAGAGAGAGAGAGAGAGAGGGAGAGAGAGAGGGAGAGAGAGAGAGGGTTTAACGTCTACACAACACAAACTAGGTCATTTCGGGACTAAGACATGGTTCAATTTTATTTCAATAATTCGCATGCGCGTAGGGGTCTTTAGCAGTGGGAGGAAACCAGAGGAACCGGAGAAACCACACGAGGTTGGACAGGCGACACTACTCCTTGTCGCGTACAACTGGGGATTCGAAACCACGCCAGTTGACTCAATGACAGGCCTTATGATACAGCACGCAAGTGCTAACCATTCGGCCATCCAACCCCCCTATGTGCCACAGCTCAAAGTGCTATAATTTCTATGATTACAATTTCGATAACAGCTGATACCGCTTCGTATTTATGCTAACAAGTTTTGAAATAATTTATGTATTATCTTAATACAAAATGGACGTACCTTACAGCACGATCAACTACATATTCTAAAGCAGACTGTACTCTAGTTGTATAGTTACTCTCAGGATCATCACTATCTCCGTTATAATAATACTCCTTCTTTAAACTATTTAACATCTTACATATTTTCTCCTTGGGTAATTTCTGAAGAGAAAAGCACATATACATTAATTTACAGTTTCGAAACTGGTGTTTGTATTAAAACCAGTTAATATTTTCAATAAACACCAACTACAAGGGTAATTTGAACTTCCGCGCATTCATGAGCCAGTATTAAAATTTATATTGTAATTACTACTAGCCAGTGAATCAAGGCACTACGATAAGTATACATATGTCATGGGCATGATCTGTCTTTTCAGAATACGTACCATATAATATTCTTTGAAATCTCCATTATGAAATATGGCGCTCCAAATAGCAGCATGGCCAATACCTGGTCCTAGTTCTACCATTCTTATCAACATATCATAGAATAAACCATACAGATTTTCATATTCTATAGCTTGATAATTACCGTCTCTGTAATATTATAACATTTTATGTACATGTATAAAACAACAAAGACTTGTGTATCTACAAGTATTAAACATAAAAAGTCAAGCAGTAAGAAACGAATTTAAACATACATTATGCAAGAGCTAAATCTGCCTATTGCAGGTCTTTCTTTATGTCTGAAATGTTATCTAAATTATTAATTAGACATTAATTAACTTATCCAGACCATAATCAACCCTCGATGTCATCGCTAGCCTGCGATATTTACTGGATTAGGATTCGATTTGCTTCTCATCTTTCTTTCATGATTAAATCATTAATCATTAAATGAATAATCGAGACTATGTTCTTTATTGTACCGACTATAGTAATGATGATCGAGGCTAGGCCGAAAATTCAATCGCCAAATTCCCGGTTCAGAGTGGATCATTTTAACTGAAATTTTTAGCAAATTCCCTTTACATTATCCAGTTTTTAACTATTATAGTCAGAATTGCTAATTCCTTATCTAATCTCCCATAACGTATCATTAATTGATTCTCTTTGAACTGTTCTTGTGAATATCACCATTTCCTTATCATCATGAGTATGTTACCTGTATTCACCATACTGATATTGTCAGTAGTCTAATTATCATCATCTTGGAAATCAATTATAAATCTCAGTTTTGTCATCATCATGAATGTGTCGTTATCAATAACAGTAAAATTGAAAAATAAAACATCATTTGAATTATGACTGCGCCGACCATGAAATGATGGAGAATCGATCGGCGTGACAGTGATACGAGTTCGACTACTGTGATTCGGAGCAGTGAGCGTAACACATCGACTTACCTACTCTGATCAAATACCAATTCTATCATATGTTTAGCTAAAAAGACAGCATCGTGGTCGTCTCGTGGCATGTTTGGTATGCATATTTTGGACATCAGTATTTTTGTGGCATCATACCACAGAGTTACGGGTCCGGGTAAATCTGTGCAGTTTCTGCTCCATTGTCTTTCTTCATCATAATATTGACTTCTGGCGTCTTCGGTAATATTGGATAAATCATATTTACCTAATATCTTTAGGATATCAGCTGGAAATAGAAATAAGAAGATGAATTTAAATATGCCTCTCCCATATCAGTTATTGTGCTAAAGAGAACGAACTCTACCCCATAAGGAGTACAAGGGTTATAATAGATAAGATTTAAAAAATCTAACCCTAACCCTTAAAAAGAAAAATCATACCAAAATAATAATAAACATATTATGTAGTTGGTTTTTACAAAAAAGATATTATCAAGTACTGGGCGGTTTAGCTCTCGGGATTTGAAACCAAGAGATGTGAATCTAGTACTAGTTCGATCACTACGATTTGAATTAAATGAGCTAAACTTCTAACTCAATGTTATCCATAATATTCGAAATTAAAATCACGAATTAGAATTCAATATTGGCCCATTTCAATCAAAATGAAAATAATGGTTTCGGGCGCCATTTGTAATGAACATAGAAAAACAAATCCCAGAAGACAATGCATAGGTAGTTAAAAATGGCTGATTAAATTAATTAATTGAATGTAAAAATTAAATGTAAATCACATTATATACTCATAATATATTAACTTTTGATTTTAGGTCCGTTTTAGTCTAGTTTAAAGTTCGAAAGGCTCTTTAACAAAGTTTTATTCCGTATTAATTATTTAAATTTGGCCTTTTAACGACAAGAGGATACTTAGTGAAACGTCGTATTTATGTATAATAAAGAAGTGCTTGTTATGATAATTGAACTAGTATTGTCACGTTCGCCAAATTCCACTAAAGTGTTAGTCCTATCGTTAAAGTAACTCGAGTATAGGACAAGGAAGGAAATTAGAATGAAATTAAAATACATTAAATAGCAATGCTTATAATCCGGCAACACAAACAGTAACATGTATGTAAAAAACAACAACAGAGGAAGAGTATTTACATAATGTAACTTGTTGATGTAATGAAACGGAATGAATGGGGTTTAACGCCCTACTGTTCTGCTCAGACTGGGCTAATAAAGACGGGCCTGTGCCATACAGTGTGCTATGAGGGAAATTTTGCCCGGGCAGTGGCACTATAGCCTACTCTTATATCGAATTCCAACTGCCAAGGGGTCTTTTACGTGAACGCCAAGGTATACACGGGAACTCGTTTTTTCGTACCATGCGAACGACTAGACAGCTGTCCTTGCCAGACCCTCCGTCCTGGGAAAACCACGCCGGAAAATCCAGATGAACTTTCTCGGCCAATGCAAGGATCGAACAAGCGACATCCAGGCTAGCGAGCCAGCGTCTTACCCACCGTGTCTCCCAACTTTTTGATGTACATCGTGTACATATTTACATCGTAGTATAACTTATTGCCTTAATCTTGCCTAAATCTATTCAGGAAAATTCATTAACTATATACCCCAAGGCAGTTTTATTTAGGCCTGTGCTCAGTATACGTTAAGTTATTACGAGTCTGACCTAATTTTACACACATACATGATTTTACTTCTCATAGCCAGTGGCGTATCATGACGATCGATAGGGAGGATGGCGGCGAGAGGGAGGGTCGGGTCATGGGGGTGGTTGAATATTAGGATTTGAAACTTTCAGGCTAAAAACAGCAGAATTGCCATGGTTACGTGAGCAATACTAGAAGGAAACCTGTGAGCGGTGGACAGAGGGGTTTCCCCTGTTCCAACGGACGGCAATGTGTACAGGTGGGTCTCGATTTTTCGGCCTATCCGACCAACTAAGCACGCTGTTGATAAATCCCGAAGTGCGCTACCAACGCGACCTACATAAATGTATAGGTAAATAACTAAATGAATGAGTTCATAATCTAGCCAAACCTGCACCCCCAGGCCTCCACTTCGCACGATTTACCATATAGTATATTTGTCCCATCCGAGCAACTAGTCAGTTTAGCTGTATGGCACTTACAGCAGTTAAAGGAGAGGAGGGGAGCCAAATAAAGAACTTAGAAATTATATTAGAACAAATATTATGTTTTAAACGTAACGATACTCACCAGCGGCCATCTTGGATACAATAATATGTAAATCTCATCCAATTATGTTTTCAATTTGTACACTCATAACATTATTCACAATGGGGAAAATGAGAGCGATATTCGTGCATAATATCCTGGTTCATTTCATCCAATTCAATAAAATAATGACTCGAATTCTTTCAACAACACGTATCCGATCAATTGACTCAACTGCGCATTCAAAATACTTTAAGGACACATTTTGCTTTACAGTTTATTCAACCATGCTATACTATGTAATAATAAATAGCGTGAAATGAATAGCAAGAACGTTAGAATGTTAAAAGTATTATAAAAGTACAATCAGTGATATTTCTATGCTGCCTGGTTACGAACACAATCACTGACTTGTAAATAACAAAACAAGAATTCTGTTCTATTTATATACATCGCTCTAGATATAGAACACGCGCTCAGCACATCCAAAATATACATCTAGTAGTGCACGGGTAAGAAAAACAGGCTTCTGTATTCGTGTCAGATTCCTCTATTTCCAGAAGTATATTGCCTTGTTATTCTCTTAATTATCGTTTTAATGTCGTCATAATCAGCAGAATCCATATGCTGTCGTAATCAGCAGAATTCATACGCTGGGTGTACACACTAGCTTCCCAGCAGATGCATTACGCAGAATCAGCGAAAAGCAAATTACATATATTCATCCTAATGTTTGTTAATACACGAATACGCTAATGAAGGTACGGATGTCAACAGGATTCACATGACCTCTACAAAGTACAGGGTGTGTTCATGTGACAGTCATAAATATATGTCAAGTGGCCGTGTGTCGTTATTTTATCAATGGTTGTCGTTAACGATATTGATTGGTTTACGATAATATGATGGTCGATATAGGTTAAAATGTTTTGGTCAATATTATTTAGAGATAGCTTGTATTCTAACTGGCCTGAAGGGAACTACGTCATTCATGTATATAAAAAACAAATATTGACATAGCTTAAAAGCAATTAAAGATGCCTCCCCTCGTACAAACTGCATGATTTAATGATTTATTTGGACTAATAACATGTTAAAACTAATTTATCTATCAAAAGTTTGCTTCAGATCCTCCTCAAAACATTTAAATTGAAAGAAAACTACCCTAAGCTGTAATGCTATTTTAAGCATTCTTGTTTGATTGAGAGAAGGGCCCATTTCAGCTAGTATAATTTGTTGTTACTGGCTTTCCAGTTACCATAAATATCAAAACCCAAGTAAACTCTTGGATTATCCAATGCCAACTTTTTCCGCCATATAATCGGAAAGTCGGCCGTGCGTTTAAGTCTCTCGCTGCTCTCACAGCCTCTTACTATTCGATCAACAGAACCAATGCTTCCTACGTCAGTCAAGCAGACATCAAGAGAGAGAGAGAGAGAGAGAGAGAGATGAGGTTTAACGTCCACTCGATACAAACTAGGTTCAATTTTATTTCATATATTCGCTTGCGCAGTGGGAGGAGACCGGAGGACCCGGAGAAAATCCCAGCCGGGGAATCGAAACCACGCCAGTTGACTCGATGACAGACCTTATGATACAGCGTGCACGTGCTAACTATTCGGCCACCCAACCGCCGCATATAGCAAGAAACAGACTGCCCATTAATGATCCGCTTTTTGTCATGTGCGCGCCTTATGTTTTTTTTTCAGTGAATCCGGAATTTTTTTCTATTTTCCATATACCAAATTTGCCATTCACTTTTTGAAAATAACTACCTTATATATATTTTCGTCTAAGTGTATCTTTAAATCAAACGTGATTATGGACATTTCGTTTTTAGTTTGAAAACAATTTCATTTGTTGAAAGTAGCGTTATTATGGTTGTGACAGAAAGATAAAATGTATTCGCTGTTTTTGCTCCTCCATATTGAGAGAATAATAAAGAATCTGAAATTTGAATAGACAGCCAATAAATAAAACTAATATTAGCTTCTATTTCAAATTTACCAACGGGTATTTTTTCAAACTCAGTTGATAACACATCGGTAGTACAAAACTAATGGTTTAGTCCGAAGGTTCATTAGTCCTTTACAGGCTTCAATTTGTGAAAATGGGTGTGCCATGAAAGGCTGTTTTGCCCTGACAGTTTTGGTATGATTGACTGTTATTTCCAATGGCAAGGGGATCCTTAAGTACATATACTGTCAAAAGCATTTTCTGGACCTACCATCCGAGCCACCAATTTCTTCCCTCTCCCCCCCCCCCCCCCATTCTGCTTCACTGACAAGAGGAAGTCGGGCTGGAAAAGAACGAACACGTTACCTCCTGGTTAGTATTATAACTTTACGTGCAAACCTTTTATGCGGTAATCTCTGTAAATATCTATTTAGATAAAAGTTCCACTCCCTCCCAGTGTCAATGACAATCTGATTAAAACACAGATCCTATTTCAGTTTCGTTTTACTCTCCTTCACTACACCAGGATCTGGAAGAGTTGTTATAATTTCCGCAAATTGTCAATTACTGAAACACATTCCCATTTGAGGATTTCCCTGATTTTTGCTGTGAATGCTGCCTTCAATTCACCAACCGATTGAGGGTTGTTCTGGTGCACATTATCTTTGAGATAATTAGGGAAATCCCCAAAGAGGAATATCTTTGAGTAATTAACAATTTTGCGCGAATTCTCTGGACCTTTTTAAGATTTAATAAAAAGTTTATGGGTTCTGTTATATTTTTTTAATTTTGTGTGTGGGTGTGTGTGTGTGTGTGTGTGTGTGTGGGGGGGGGGGGGGGTCACCCTATGCCAGATTTATGGTAGTTACACGTCCCTATATATCATTGAATAGCTGGTTATGGATTAGGCGGCCAGTCAAATCTTCAAAAAGATTCAAGACACCCTATAATTTACATAATACATTTCATTTACTATAATAAATGCCTTGATTCGTGAACTTAGATATGTGTTTATTAGAGCAGAAAGCTATATGTAGTCATATTGTCACAAGGGTCTTTAAAAACTCAGTAATATATGCAGGATATCATTGATATATTTTAAAGTATATTTGTACAATGGTTAACAAGCCTTTATTTTGATATATTGTATTGACTTATCGTGTACTTATTGATAGTGTTATATACACAAGTAACTAATTTCATGCGTGGGTTTCAAATAATATGTAAATAGGATCTAGGATACAACGAGAGATTGAGAGAAGGGGGTGGGGTGGGGTAGCGCCCACTCGACACGGAGGAGTCTTCAGCACTGCGTGAAATGGCAGGACACGACCCTATTCATTGTCATGTATCAGCTATGAATCAACCACTTGACGTATTTCGTGTATCTAATCTGGATGCGTGTGCAGTTAGTCATATGAATAAAGTCAATATCGTAGGAATGAATGAAAGGGGGATAATGTCTAGTATTTTTGAGACTAACACCCGTGTTCACAAAACATTCTCAGACTTAATTTAAGAATTTACTCAAAACTGTTCGCTTTATTTGAACTAAAATATAGTCCTTTATAAACCTATTGTTGTTTTAATGTATCAAATACATCAATAAGAAACTATGTGCAAAGTTTTGTGTTTCTGGATCAAAGATATTTCTCATAAACAGAGATTGAAAGTTGAGTAAATTCTTAACTTAAGTCTGAGAATGCTTTGTGAACTTGGGGCTTAGTAATTGTCATTTATATGGTAACGTCCACAATGCAAAGGGTGCTGTTTACAAGGACATCGGTCTTTCCCACTAGTCTTCTTAGTTATTCAACTACCAAGATTGGCCCAAGATCCGAATCCAAGACATTTTTGCCGAGAGGTTAATAGTTCCCTTACTGTTCGACTAACACGGCCAAATCTTAAGAACAACAAGAAACTAAAACGACTACTAGATCATCAGAGTACTCTATTTTTACATATTTACTAAAAGGTGAACATTATCTCAAATAATATATATATTAATGATAAGTCAAAGTCTGCAGACCATATTACAAATCACAATTTTGATATTTTCAAAGTGGACGCTTATTGGAGTTAACTCCCCTGAATAGTCAAGCCACGAATTCGGTCACATACAGCAGTATGAGTGTGTATTCGACTATTCAGCATATCCTTTAACTAACGTCTATCTGCATACGTACATCGACTTGTTGAACGTACTATAAAAAGGAATTGATCTATAGATAAATTTATATAGCCTTCTTTTTCCTTCACTATATTAAATCGGTACCGGTATCTAACCCATTTCATCAATCGTAGTAAAGACAGTAAATGACATTCACCTCCGTAGATTGTATAATGATTGGCCCACCAGTATATCGCTCCTACATTATGGTTTATTCATTCCATATACATATAATGCCAGAGAATAACTCCAAACATTGCAGAATTTATCGAGGATTGCGAACTAGCATTCGATAATAGCTAATGTTAAGACATTTGAAGTGTGGTCACATATACGATTAGTCCGGTGAATTTATGAGACCAAGTTTTTCTAGACCAGCTTTTTACGTAGATTCCGATTCTGTGTGGTGTTTGAGGAGGCGTTTTCGAGATATTGGGAGGGGGGGGGGAGGTTGTCGAATGTCTGCAATTGGGAGGAAATGTGATTATGTTGACATAAATGATGATCATGTTATATATTAAAGGGGAATTATGGAAGATTAGATAAAGAGCTGGCAGTTCTCACTATAATAGTTAAAAACTAGATAATGTTAAAGAAATGTGCTGAAAATTTCAGTCAAATTGCTCCACTCTTAACCGAGATATTAGCGTCTGAATTTTAGGCCTAGGCCCAACATCATTACTAAAGTCGGTACGATAAAAAACATAGTCTCGATTATCCATTTTTGGATTAAATCATCAATGCGCGTTGAACAGCAAATCGTATTCAAATCCAGTAAAAATCCGACACATAAGATGACATCGAGAGTTAATTAAGGTCTTTTCATGTTAATAAAATGTCTAATTAATAGTTTATATAACATTTCAGGTCCAAAGAAAGACCTGCAATAGGCAGACTTCGCTCTTGCATAATGTATATTTAATAAAACATAATTTTCTAGGACTCTCCATCTCTAAGTAAATGTATATGATACCCTGGACAACTGTTTTGATTTGTGCGGAGGTGGGCGGGGTTGCAGGTGTGCATGTGTGGAAGAGTGTGTGCGTGGGGAAGGGGGTAAAATTGGCGGGAAATGATGATGTAGAGATGGACAGTCATCTTGTATGTCAACATAATCACATTTGGCCCCAATTGTAAATATTGAGCTCCCCATATCTCGAAAACGCCCCCTCAACTTGGTCTCATAGATTCACAGCTTGGACGGCGACCCCCCCCCCACCACTCCCCCATTCAGCCACCAGACTATATACGTTAAATGTGTAACGTTCGTTCGTCGTTCTCATTGCAAAATGAAATGAAATGAAATGGGGTTTAACGTCCTTCTGTTCTGCTCCTATACTGGGCTAATGAAGACGGGCATACGCCATACAGTATGCTATGAGGGAAATTTTGCCCGGGCAGCGGCACTATCGCCTACTCTTATATCGAATTCCAACTGCCAATGGATCTTTTACGTGCACTCCAATGTATACACTGGGACCTCGGTTTTTCGTCTCATCCGAAGGACTAGACAGCTGTCCTTGTCAGGCCCTCCGTTCTGCACCACTGACAAGGGCAAACCACGTCGG